GAGTTTTTAAACACTGTGTCCACTCACTGTCCACTCTATTAGACACTCCTACCTTGTCAGTCCACCTTGTAGATGTAAAGTCAGAGACGATAGCTCATCTGCTGCTGCACAGTTTGTGTTGGTCATCCTCTAGTCCTTCATCAGTGGTCACAGGACGCTGCCCACAGGACGCTGTTGGCTGGATATTTTTGGTTGGTGGACTATTCTCAGTCCAGCAGTGACACTGAGGTGTTTAAAAACTCCAGCAGCACTGCTGTGTTTGATCCACTCAGACCAGCACAGCACACACTAACACACCACCACTACCCAAATAGTACCTGCTCTGTGAGGGTCCATGGGGGTCCTGACCACTGAAGAACAGGGTAAAAGGGGGCTAACAAAGTATGCAGAGAAACAGATGGACTACAGTCTGTAACTGTAGAACTACAAAGTGCACCTATATAGTAAGTGGAGCTGATAAAATGGACAATGAGCATAGAAACAAGGAGGTGGTCATGCCTGATCGGTGTATATATATATATATATATATATATATATTTGCTTACATATATATATATATATATATATATATATATATATGTAAGCAAACATGACAGTATGAATGCTGTAAATATTCATTACTGCAACTACCTGGCAGCTCGACTGCTAGTACATTACTGTAAATTTGCAGTAATTTTGCACCTAATATTTATCCTCCAGAACATTTCAGACCCAAATGCACTTTATCATGTAAATCAATGAGAAAACACAATGTACAGTGTATATCCAAAATTTTGTCATTATCTGCTCATCCAGTGTTTCTTTTGAAATCAAGAGTATTAATAGGCAGTTTGTCCCTCTTTGCTGCTGTAAGAGCCTCTACTCTTCTGGGAAGGCTTTACACTAGATTTTGGAAATGTTGGAAGATTGCTGTGAGGATTTGGTTGCATTTAGCCACAAAAGCATTAGTGAGGTCACTAATGTTGGATGATTAGCTCTGGAACACAAACGCCACTCCAGCTTGTCCCAAAGGTATTGGATGGAGCTCCATCACTCCAGAGAACACAGTTCCACTGCTCCACAGCCCAATACTGGGTCGGTTTATACCCCTGTAGCCGACTCTTGGCACTGGGAATGGTGACCTTAGGTCCATGTGTGACTGCCCCAGAGTGTCCCATTCTATTAGCTGTACTTTTCTATAAAGATTGTTCAAGCTGTGTGTGAAAATTTTAGCAGTAGCTGAATTGGCTGAAATTTATTATTATTATACTGTTATAATTATTTGTTATTAAATTTGTTTCACTTCGAATTGTACTCTATACTTTCTTGTAATATGGATATAACATAACATATTTTCTCATTTCTGTGCTGGGTACTGATTGGTTGGTGAGCTGATCAGCTCATTGGCTGAGAATAAAATGTCGAACGTATGAACGTATATGAGGCAGAAGTCCTCTAACTGGAGTTAAAAAAGCTTTAAATACACTTAACAGCAGTTTTGAAACAGTAAACTACTCATGTGTTGGGAAGAAAAAGCATAAACCTTTCACAAATCACAATTTGTAATTCAAATTAGTCTAATTATAATAATGTACAATTTTAATTACAAATGTAATTACAAAAAATTATAATTTTGAAACGTGTAGCTGGCATCAAATTCAAGATAGGCATACATTTTTCAAAAAACAAAAAATTTTCTCAGTTTCAAAATTAGATTTTTGGTCTTTGTACTATTTTCAATGAAATATAGGGTTTAAATGATTTGCACATCATTGAATTTTGTTTTTATTTACATTTTGCACAGCGTCCCAACTTTTTTGGAAATAGGGTTGTAATTCAATTAGCTAAAAGGCTGGAAATTAGATGAAGGGCTGGATAGTTTTGAGTGTGAGTCAGGAATGGTGACATTTACTTGAGAATTTTTTTGTTTTCTTTTTCTTTTTTTTCTTGATCAACAACAGAGGCATTTTGTCATGGCCTTGTCTTTACCAAGAGTGTTCATTCTGGAGGGCACTAAATGGCAACAGTTTAATGGTTGTTTCAGTTCCTTCCTCATGACGATACAGCATCATAATGTACGCCGAGAAGGTCATTGCTGTTCCAGTCTCACACAGCGGCTAATTCTAGGGGTTGACCTTAAAGAAACATGATACTCTTAATACAGAGCTTTTCCAGCTTTTTCTTTAGAGCCTACATTTCCGGCACAGGCAGCAGGCTGAATGTCAGTTGGTAGCGATTTATGAAGCTGAAGAGCTCTCCTTAACGCACTTCAGATAAAACAACACATCTCGCAGTGCTGTTCTACAGTGTGTTTTGTCTCTTCTGAAGCACAAAAGGATGCTTTTCTGTGATCTTGCCGATGAATGACACAGAGCTGTCTGCCTTGCTCGCATAACCGCACTTTGACCCTCGCCTGAATTATGAAGCAGACGATTATTGTTCACTTCTTGGAGATTTTTTACTGAAATACTCTCAAAAACATGAACCATGGGGGTCGTTTAACTGTCAAACTGAAAAGATGTTGACACTAATAGATGCCATTATCCACGTAAATGCTCGCTCTGCTCTGACTGAATTTAAATGTTCTGACTGTTTTAAATGTTCTTTTTTTTGGAGTGTATCAGTGATGCTACAGTGAAATACTGACCTACAGAGTTACAGCAGTGTTTCTGAGTTGCAGAGCGGTCACTTTTCCTGCTCGGCTCCATTGGAAGTAACACAATGAGGCCAGTGTGGGCCGCACGCTCTCAGCCACAGGATCAAGCGCTTCATGTAAATGGTTGCCAGGTTATTGTTGCCCATAGATATGGAGACAGGGTGAGAGAGAGAGAGAGAGAGAGAGAGAGAGAGAAGGAGGGAGAGAGAAGAGCTGAAAAGAAGTGTGGAAAAGCTCACCTGCCAATCAGTCGCCTGAACCTCCCTCCTCCAGTGCGTCACAAGTGCAGGGAAGGCCGGCTATTTTGGTGCTTTTTAACACTTGGTCATTTGCATGACAGGCCAGTGAGATGCAAATGAACCCGTGTGCCTCTTTGTAACTGCTTCTCTTCAAACAGGTGGCTCGCTTCTGCGCGCTGGAGCTGAGGATAATAGCCACAAGGTAAGAGCTCCCTTCTTTTACGTTATTTTGTCCGGCGGTGGACGTGTAGATGGTCGTAGCTTACACTTTCGGCTGTGCAGTGGTGTGAAGTCAACTGCTGTTTCAAATGTGTCAGAGATGCTTGGAAATAACTCACAGGTGATGGCAGTTACGGGGCAGAGGCAGCGGTGAGACTCCTGACAGAGCAGCGCTCTGAATCCAGCCGTTTCTGTTTGATCGTACTAGATAACTCAAGGAGAATCACTGGAATTTTTTCCACAGACGTTTCTCGTCCGCGCTAATCCTATCTGGGCATCAAGCGCCCTCAAGCAAAGTGAACAATTATCCTCCTGCCCCAAAGTGACCTGTCAGCCCATAACGGGGAATAATGCTGTGTTGGATATTTCAGGTTGGAGCATGTGTTACTCCAAACGTGGCCCCTCAACCTCTAAAACTACAGGCTTATTACTCAGTTATTAACATTATGACTTACTTTTCAGCTTCCCAGAATAAAGACTCCTCAGTGGTTCTTGGTTTTGGATGTACAGTGTTCCAGGAAACACTTTTCATTTGGTATGCAGTCTTTACATCAGGTTCTTCATGCTTTAAAAAGGGTTCTTCACACTTACGCCTCTCATTTTAAAAAGTGGTTCTTCAGCCTTGAACTCCTTAAAGTCTTTTATCACATCCTTAACGAGTTATTAATTAATAAATACATGGAAAGCAATCCAGTCTGGCTGAGTTCTTCTTAAATTACAGTCGTATGCAAAAGTTAATGTTTTGGCACTTGTTTTGTTTTTATTTTTTTCCAATATTTCAAACCAAGAAAAAACAAAAACGAAAGTTGTGCACCAAATTTAGCAGAAAAATGCCATATTTAAGTTTGTTAGTTTATTTTCGCATAGAAAATCAACAAAGTATGTCATTTAACCAGGGGTAGTCAAACATTTGCATGCAACTATATATGAGTGAGGAACGCCCAGAACTGCACATGGTTACGTGCAGTTTTAGAGATTAAGGACCCATCCATTTAAAGGTTCTTCATAGACAACCAAAAGTGTTTTTTCTCCGAAAAGCATTTTTGCCAGTGTACGATGCATTATTCTGAATCTCCTAATATACTATCACACTAATATCGCTGTTTTCGGAAGAAAACCTCGTATCTCCAAAATGGTAACTTTACAGGAGAAGGAAAAAACATACTTTACTTTTAATGTAAGTCAATGGAACCAGACATTTTTCCAAGTCATTTTGGGCCATTTCTTTTAGTCCAATCATCATGAAATTTACACACAGTGTAAAGGACAACAGGCATTTTCAAATTATGTCAAAAAACAAAAATGGAGATATGAGGTTTTCTTCCAACAGCAGCGAAGTATGTTATCTATGTTACATAGTTACAGGTGAAGAACTGCGAATAAAGGCTTGAATAGGTTGTTCTTCACTCCATTCTATCTAATCAGACTCCCATTTGCTCCCATTCAACTTTATCGAAAAGTTATCGATTGTGTGCGAACAAAATATTTTATATATCAAACAGCACTGCTTGAAAGGCGATGCAGCTTTGGTACATATTGCAGAAGTTTAGCCAAAAATACCAAGCGTGCCTTTCTCTGCATGGGTAGTCAGGCATTACTATTTACCAAAAGCCTTCTTCACTTCCCCTAGAGTGACATGTTTGTGAGTTGGGGGATGTACATATGGAGAGGATTTAGGGGACGGCTGGATATCACTGTTCTGTGACTCGAGGGCTTTTGAGATAGTAGAATGAAGGCTGCTGTGCCACAGTGAGGATCAAAACAGGCAGGCAGGGCAGGGTACCACTCGCTGTGGTACAGAGAGGACACAGCCATTCTTCAGCTGCAGCTCGCTGGAGCGTCGGGAGAGAGAGCACAGCGCAGCAGTAGCTGCCCAGAGAAGCCTTCTCCTTAAATGGTCAAAGCTCCCAGGAGTCAAAGAGAGGCTGGTGTAGAGAGAGAAAAAAAGTTAGGGAGAGGAAAAGAGAGAGAGCGCTGAGGACTGGGGAGCTGAAAAAAAACAACAACTGAGAGCTGGAACGAGATGAGAGTTGTAGGAGAGTAGAGACGTGGGGAAGGAGCGTTGGAGATCCTTGCTGGACCTTCAGGTATAGATGTATATCTGAACATATATAGATATATAGATATATATATATATATATTTTTTTTTGCTTATTCAATGTTTGTATGAATTGATGGGGGAGGATTTGTGCACTGCTGAGCGTTTAGAACAGCTGTACATGACGGCTGCATGGTATTTTTGAAGGTTGTCATATTTGTCTGGAACTGGAATTGAACTTATCTTAGAACATGATTATTGCAAGTGATGTTTTTGGGCTCTCACATGAACATGCAACTCCAGAATAGTGCTGCTAAAGTGTAAACTGACCTAAAGGTACACACTTTAAAAGGGTTCTTTAAAAAGGCATTGGTTCTATTTTGAACCATGAGTTCTAGATAGTACCGTTTCATGCTTAAATGGTTGTTTGCATGGTGAAATGGTTCTTCAGATAGATGGAGAATGCGTTGTATATTGTTCTACATAGAACCTACCTTTGTTGAAAATGGTTTAGTATAGCACCAAAAAGGGTTCTGCTATTGTTATGATGTCAAACTTTAAACAATAGAGGAACCCAATCTAAAGAACCATCCTTTTTAAGTGTGTGCATGGCTGCATCGTGACAGCTGTAGCCTGTTTGAACGCGTGACTGTGAGAAGCTTTCGGTTTCTGCGTTTCAGAGCTGCTCGCTGGTCCATGCCGTGCAGCAGATTACATGTAAATTTTTACAGCAGGTCAGTACAGTGCCCATGTTTGAGCAGCTTCTCTTTGCCGGTTATTTATTTATGGCACGATGAGCTGTAGGCGCCGAAGGGTGCCACTCACCTGCCTGACCTTTGGCTCTTCAGCTCGGCTCCCCTCTTTTCTCTCACGTCCCTGCCTTTTCTGTTATCTCCCTCACTTCCTCGTTGGGCTGAGAACTGGCTGTGCTTCGCCCAACCAAATTTTAAACAAATCTGGCGAGCTAGGCTGGCTTACATAATTGACAGGGAAAGAGAGAGAGGGACAGAGAGAGAGAGAGAGAGAGAGAGAGAGAGAGAGGGGGCCAAGCACTGACTTTCTCATGCAGCCCCGGCGAGGGCTTCACCGCGAAGTGACCCTGAGGCCGCCGGGTCCCTTGGGCTTGACCCGCCGCGTCCTCGCCAGATTTATTTTTTTTCACAAAGCCAGCCCTCTCAGGCCAGGGATTGAGAACGTCTGCTAAAAATAGCTCCGGTCAATGAGAAGACCATACAGACCAGAGAAAAAAAGAATGAGCGGGAAAAAGGGCGAAGGAGCCCGTGTGGAGCACAGATTCGGCAGGAAATAATCAGAGTGATTCGATTACACTGCAATATTCATCTGTGTCACTCTCAGCAGGGGAACATGCTGCGAGAGTCCTGCCGGCGGCTCGCTCCACCACCAAAGTGTTGTTTTGAAGGCCAGTGCAAAACCAATACCACCAAGCAGGCATTTTTCTAGGTGCCACTGCAAATTTGTGCAGTTTTGCTTGAGGTTTGAGGGATTTTAGGCTTAAGAACTGCAAATTTGGTCAGTTTTGCTTGTGGCTTTAATACTTTAAGGCTTAAGAACTGTACATTTTTGCAGTTTTGCTTGAGGTTTGAAGGATTTAAGGCTTAACAATAAAATAAGACATTTACATCTGATGGATGTAACAGCAACAGATGAGATGAGATACGCTTGATGGGCCAAAATGATTCTTGTAGAATGACTTTGTGTAGGCACTAACAAAATCATTTTTTAGGTTTGTTTGTCTATAACCAGAAGGCTGCTGGTCACATGGCAGACTGCATGACATGCTTCAACATCAGAGTAGGAAGCAACAGCTTCAGTTATTCTTTATTCTTTATCTGCTACACTCTCAGAATTAAAGGTGCTAAACCATCACTGGGGCAGTTCCCCTCTTGTCGCTGGTGTGGGACCCTCTAGGGTACATCTCAGTGCCTTTAGTCAGGGAACATAACTGTACTAAATCCATTGAAATGATATTTTCTAAGCTGTACTGACTCCACACACCCCGTCTCGTCTCCAGGCTTTTATTTTATTGATCTGTTTTAAAATATTCGGTTATGAAAAGGTATAAATACAAACTTTTCACCTGGAAAAACTTATTTAAGTAGCACAGCTGGACCTTAAAACCGCTGTCGCGCCTTTGAGGGAACATTTACATTGTTTGTACCTTGATAAATTAGAAATGTGCCAACACAGTACCTTTATTTCTAACTTTGTACCAAGAAATATTCCATACACCAATGTTGAATAGAAGAAAAAACGGTAACACTTTACTGTAGGGTGCTGTTCATAAGGCTATATGACACCTGCATAAGCTTGTCATTACAACTGACATAACCCTACATAGCTGTTTATAAATGCTTATTACAACACGCATCATCTGTCATAAAGGCTACTTTAGCTGACCTTGATCAAAATTGGCAAATGTAACCTTTATAGCGAATGACAATCATTGGAACAAGCATTTATAAACAGTTATGTAGGGTTATGTCAGTTGTCATGACAACCTTATGTAGGTGTCATGTTGCCTTATGTATAGAGCAGAATGTGTCATATGCTGAAACTGTGCTATTGCACCAGACAGAAAAGACATGATCTGTAGATTATCTGGACTATTTTCTTTTGGGAACAGCTGTGAAGCTTGAAGAAGAGCTTCAGCTTTGATTTCATATCTCTTTTTGAAAAGAAGACTTTTTGTGCTGATGCTGTGTCTCCAAGTGCTCCTATGAGACAGCACTCACAGTCGCCCTTTCCGGCTAGTGTCAGGAAAACACACAAACCCCGAACTGTGTTTTATGGCTTTTTGAATGTCAGCGTAGATCTGGTCCAATAGTAGATCAGCAACCATTCAGCAAAGGGCCAAGGGGGAAGAGAAGCAATGCTTTATGGTCTGTTTTGAAGATCACCATGGTAATACTGCATCTCCGTTTCAGGGCTGCAGCAACCAGGAAGCATCCCAGGACACAGATGACTCTACTGACTCATCTGATGCGTGGGTGAACTGCACCAGAACTGACATCTCACAGGCTTCTTCTACAGGTACTGGCCATTAGTCACATTTTCAGAAACTACTATATTTAGCCATTAAATTGATGTTTTAATGGCTTCTTCATTCTTGGCATCAGTTGTACAGCCAGAACTTTTACAATGGGGTGGCAAGGTTGGACTTCAACCCAACATGTATAGTAAAAGTAGCTTATTTATGAAAAGAATGGGCCTCATTCACAACATCTTCCCTGGTTTTTTCTTAAATTTATTCATGAGAAAGACCATAAGAAAAAATCAGATTCATGACGTCTTCTGAAAGCGAAGAACTGCTCTCACCTTTGTGATCTTGGGTGTGTGTAGATTCTGTTCTTACCTAAGAACAAACCCCAGATAAGAAAACACCGGTGACTGTCAGAATCTTAATAAAACATGCATAACGCTGCTCTCAGAACAAAACCTCTCCAAAATGACAATTTTACAAGAGAAGGAAAAAACATACTTCACTTTTAATGTAGGTAAGAAAACCTCGTATCTTCAAAATGGTAACTTTACAGGAGAAGGAAAAGCCTACTTTACTTTTAATGTAAGTCAATGGAACCAGAATGTTTTCCAAATAATTTTTCTTTTGGTCCATTCATTATGAAATTTACACACAATGTAAAGGGCAACAGGCATTTTCAAATTATGTCAAAAACTGAAAAACGACAAAAATGGAGATTTCGTTCCGACAGCAGTGATATGTGGGTTTTAAGAGGAAATTTCTTCTTAAGAACAATTGGTGAACGAGGCCCAAAGACTTCAGCCCATTTGGTAAAAACTGTGATTTTCTTAATATACCACATTTACTCTGCATGTTCCTGGCAGGTGAACTATCATAAATTCATGGTTAAACTCTGGAAAATCTTGCCCGATTATATATTTGTGATTAGTCATCCATTTCTTTGTTTAAAGCTGATTTGAAAACAGCATCACTCATCTCAACCTCATATTTTTTAGATGTTGTCGTTTTATTTTTGTTCTGATCATCTTATCTAATTTCAGTTTGTGTAGTCGTTGTCTTCGTATTGCCTCTTTGTGCTTTTTCCTGCTTGTTCTGTTTATTTTGTTTTTGTTAATGCTCTACATCAGTGGTCACCAACCCCCACCAACCCTGGTGGCAGAGATCGACCTGCCTGTGGAGTCTAGATCCAACCACACTTTACTACACCTGCTTTAGCTTATTAACTTCTTCAGAAGTCCGTGATTGGCTGGATCAGCATTAGTGCAGAGATCTTCAAATTTAACCTGCAGCTGACATGCTGCCCCCCCCCCACCTTACACTTATCATTAGTGTCAGGTAAGTGGGCAGGGCAGTGTGTGAGTTGCGGGTTAGAAGCTAGACTCCACAGGAAAGTAGGTCTTCAGGAGGAGGGTTGGTGACCATTGCTCCACTTCTTTGTTTGGTTTTGCTTTGGCTTCTATTTGCTTGTTTTTCTTACGGTGGCCTATTTTTGGATGCTCTGTAAAGGGACCTTAAGTGATCTTAAAGGCCATATTATTATTAGTTTTACTATGCTGACACTTGTTTGGATAATGAGCTAAAAAATGTCTTTTATTTCACAAAACAAACAAACTTAAATTAACATGACACTGGCTGGGTTTCCATTCAAACTTTTCACAAATGATTCATGCATAAATTTCAGCAGATAAAAAAGCGAATTAAGTTTCCATTCACCACAGTTATGCAAAGAAACTTTCAACGATGTAAGCTACCATGATTAGAGGGCTGCACTGAAACAAGCAAAATGGAGAGATTTATCTTTACAACCATTGGGCATGTTTTTATGGCCATGTTATCTGCATAGATGCTGGGCAGGATGGGAAATTGCCCACCTAAAAAGGGCTGAAATCTCATTTGCAACCCCAAAGACATCCAGCTTACATATGGGAACGCAAGCGCACCAGACAATTCCGAGAGCTCACTGTGCAGAACGATTTTTTTCAAACCAGCTTTGGATTAGGCATTTCAGAATGTCGAAAGCAACCTTCGGAAAGCTTTGCGCCACAATCAGACCGTCTGTAGGAATCATGGACTCATCACCGTTTATTTAAAAAACGCTTTTCCATCACTTTTTTTTATTTTGGTTTTAGCAACTTTTTTTCACCTCGTCCCACTTTTTTTGAGATATTTGGGTTTTTTAAATTCTTTATCCATTCAGGTTTTAAAACCTGCTATTTAATATAATCTCAGAACATGAGAACATGGTGGCTAAATGTGGTTCCATAAAATGACCAAAACAATGATCAGTGAGGCCAACTAGCTGCTAATAATGTTAACTAATGAAGTGTTTGCTAAGAGAATGCCTAGTTGTGTGAGCTGCTAGCATTAGTAAAATGAATAGCATAATCTGACAATGTTTAATCCTTTTCCTATTTTTGATTTGTTTACAATATGTTGCTTTCTCTTAAACTCACAGTTGTTTCTACACAGAGCTCGTAGCAGTGAGCTTTAGGTAACTCAGAGTAGGCCTGGCTTCTTTGCTGTAGAGTCATATGTCAACACACTTCATTGGTTAGTAACTACTGACTGGAGAGTCTCTGTGTAAAAACTAGCCTAATCATTTTCACAGTTTCATTGACTGCACCAGTTTGCATCACTGGCCTCGTCTCACTTCAGGGTGGCATTGGCCACCCCTTGACTCCACCTTGGGTAGCATGCTTTGACAAAACGTCATGGCGTCTGCAGGGACGTCCATTTTTTTTAACAATGTTGGTTCCTCTCTGTCAGATCGTCTTCTTGTGGGACTGATTAGCAAACAGAGCCCACCAGAACAGAACACCTGTGAGAGAGAGTCTGCTGCCGCTCACAGCCCTTTACCGGAAACTTCCCCTCTCTTGGGCCCTGCCTGCGAGGAGCTCACGCACAGTCACACATGGGAGAATGTAGCCGGGTCAGTGTTTACATTCTTCCAGTTCTTACAGGACGAGTCGCGTATGTGTTTATGTAAAATCCTCGGCCCAAGAGAGCCAATGCTAGGTGAGACTGTGCAGAAACAGCAGAGTTTACATTGTCACCCACCAAAGCTCCAATTAATTACTGTTGCTCTCTACTAGTTCCTGCAAAAATCCACAGAGAGCTTTTAGTTTAGAATGAAAGGCCCATCTGTCACTTTGAACAAAGACACATTTTTCTTAGGTAATGCAACAGGATACGGCTCTGCTGACTGTTATGTTGATTACGCACGGTGACAAATTGCTTCTAATATGACCTGTTTAGTACTTACATAGGCGGCTGCTTTCCAAACGCATCTTCTCTGGAAATCACCACTCTTTGTTCTACTTCAGGTCAGAGGAGCCAGACTGTGGTGAAGGCTTTCTATCAAAGTCCGAAGAAAGTAAGAGCAGCGCAGTTGTACTAGAGGAAGGTGACAGTGGCCAAACCGCCAGCCCTGAGGGGAACGAATGTCCCAGACATAAGCAGGAGGACAGTGGAAGGAGCCAAGAAGAGTCAGCAAGTTCTGGAAGCTCAGAATTAGAGCTTAGTGGAGGGAGTAGAATCTCGGAGCATGTGGAAAAAGGACAACTTTCAGAAAAAGAGCAACGTGCTTTTGATACAACTGACCTAAGTTTGAGTGAAGGTGCTTCAAAGTGCAGTGGAAGCAGCAAGGAGGAACCAGAAGCCAGTGGGAGGAGGCAAGAAGACACAAGAAACAACGAGATCTTAAAGGCACCACAGAAAAGCTGGACTTGTCAAGCCGCAGAGTTAGGATCTGAAAAGGAGCAAAGTTCTGAGGCACCAGAGACTGATTCTGTCCAAGCCTGTCAACCACAGACTGCGGATTCTACTGGAACACTAAAGGTCAGTATTTGGTGTCTTTAGGAAAGCATTATTTAAGCTTAATTAAAGCTGCACTGTGTAATTTTTTTGGTTGAAATTGATAGAAGTAGCATTACTGAGTCAGAAAAAGAGAGTCAGATGCATCAGGCTGGATTTTGTGGGAGTTTTTCGGACCACATCATGCATCTTTACGCATTAACATCACATGCCCAGCTTAAAAAGAGGGTCTGACTCGATGTTTAGGACTCAAAAATTAGCCTTAAGCTGATGATGGTACAATAAAATTGGCAAGCATTTCACTTTAAACATCCCTGGAAGACACATGCCTCCCCAAATTTTGACTGAGTTCTCTTTGAATTCTCTTCCAAAGTGCTTGCAATCATCAGATTCACCAACACAGGGAGTGGTTCCGAAGCACAACCCATGCTACAAAATGTTGTTCAGCACATTGCATGCAATTACACATTTCCACCAGAGAGGTCTCCAAATCCCCAAATCTCACATACCACAGCTTTAATGAACAAATACTAATTTTAAAAGCTAATCTTAAAGTAAAAACTGTGCATATTTCACTTAGTTTGCATGCATTTTCTATTCAAAAGTTGCTTACTTCATTGCTGTTTCTCCTTGTGTTTGACACCCCACATTATATTTCATGTTAAAAATGATGAACACTTTAAAACCTTCTACCAAGGCTGTGAGAGCCTGCAGAATAAGACCGACCCACCAAAAGCTCTGTGGCTTCCGGTCAGTCTTCTATCTGTCATCAGACAAACAACAACCCTGCTGCACAGCAGCTTAGCTGCCTTCTTAATTAGCTTTGCGATTGACCGGAAATTATGTGCACACAGCAGATGAACTCAAGCTCCGCTGCGATAAGAAGCCTTAACAGAGATGCTTCACGTTCCTCACCAAATCCTGATTTCAGGCCTTTGGTAATTATTAATATCTTTGTTTGAAAAGGGGACTTAATGGTATGATGCCCCCCACCCAGGCTGGATATGCCTATATCTCATTGAGTCTGCAGAGAATGTGTTCTGAAGTGCAGCTTCTCCTTTTAAGGGATGTATTTCAGCTAGGCTTCAGGTTTCACCCCAGACCCCTAGTTGAGGAAAGTGAAGGAGTATGAGCCCACTTGGATGATGGATGGAAAAGAACAGAGAGGGTCAGTGAGGAGCAAAGCAGGGGAAAGTTAGGCATTGCAGCAATAGTGATGATGACTTCAGGTCAGAAAATACAGCACTGTCTCTGCCCGCTGTCCTCTCATCGGTAGCTTGTCTAACATTATTATCTTTGGCTCAGGCACTGATGTAGTGATATCTTTCCAGTCCATCACTCTTTGTTGATTCAGCTCAAAGGAAATAGGAACGTTACTCGCTGGTCTGTCATTTCCAAACATTTTAGATGTACATTTTGATTTCCTGGCGTTATGATTGTGTCATTGCTGACCTTTCATTCACTCACAGTATTTTGCATTGTACAGTTATGAATCGTGAAGCCTGGACTGATATTTAAGTCAGTCATCACAAGACGTTTCTCTCTTACAGGAAATTCATTTACTTTCTCTCTTTGTCTCTCTCTCTGTGTCTCTCGCTCACTGTTTTTTTATCATTCTGTCCATCTATTTTGATCCCTAAGAACACAGAAACAGTGTCTCCTGCTTTGTTTGGGTTAACATGAAGCCAAAGATAGCTTCTTGTAGAACTCGGACGAAATGAGAATAGATTTAATGGAATTAGGAATGCATTCCTCAGGGAGCATGAAGCAGTCTCCCAACTTGGCCTTGCTCTTTCATCCCCCAACTCCAAGAAAGCCGTACTGTTGCCTAACTTTTACAGACAGATGGGTTTCTCAGCTGAAACAGCCATATTTTAATGAAGTTGTTGATGCATGAGTGAGATGAACGACATTATAACTGCAGCTTTATGATCATTCTGCTCGCCTCCCTCTTGTAGCTCTTGTTTATGGGTTTTTAAATCTTCTTCAGGATTCACTGACCCTGTCATGATGAAGATCAGTTGAATGATGATGTTTGTAGGCTTTTTTAAATCCCATGCACATAAACACCAGTGGTGGACAGTAACGAAATTCGTTACTGTACTTAAGTAGTTTTTTTGTGTATCTGTACTTTCACTGAAGTATTTCTATTTTGGGTGACTTTTTACTTTTACTCCGCTACATTATGAGAAATCTGTCATTCCTTGTGGTTTATGTGTGCATAAAAACATAACATGTCAAAACGAAAGAAGCGCAAAGTAAGAACACCAATCAGGGCACAGCGGTCACTTTGTTTTGAGCTTGTTTTGACCTGTTGGTCAACCGACCCAGTGCAAGCATACAGTTCAACATCAGTGCAGCAGCGTAAAAGTCTAGAGGAAAGTCTGCGGAGAGTCTATTCAACATAAATGGTGGAAGAAACTCCTGATTCTAACCTAACTTTGTTCAAATAGACCACAATATAGAAATATGTACACATATGCAGTTGTGACTGACGTGTCTTTTTCCTGAATTTATACAAACAATATTTCATTTTATAGTAAATTTGTTTTTGCTAGTTTATGTTTATGAACAGAGACCTACAGATGCAGTTTAGTAAAGGAAACTCATTTGTGAACCTGAGTTTAAAGTTTTTATTAAACTTAAACTTGTAACTAAGTTGGAAATAAATCTAATGGAAACTGTCTGCCTTCAGTGTTTTCTGCTTTTGATAATTTGAATAGACATCAGCGTCACTAATTAATGACATTCTATTAAAATATTGGTGTCACAAGAGTGACACTAGAATATTTTCACCTAAAATGAGTGGATTAATTAGAGCCATAATTCATCTTTTGGTACTTTCACTTTCGATACTTAGGTACATTTGAAGGCAAATACTTTAGTACGTTTACTCAAGTGGAGGTCTAAAGGGAGGAACTTCTACTTTTACTGCAGTAACATTTTACCTTGGGTATCTCTACTTTAACTCAAGTACATGGTTTGTGTACTTCGTCCACCACTGGTAAACGCTCACTCAGTTTTTTAACGTACAGCCAGTATCTGAAATGTAATCGGTATTTGCTGAAGGGAGATGAAAAACATTTCCTCTCAGGCCCCTCTGGTAGATACAGGGAGATGGATCTCGGCGATAAAAGAAAAAATGCAAAGGGGTGGCAGCGGACAAGACCTGTGATGGACACATTGCCCTCAGCGACCATCTGTAGGCAAATCTCATACCACACACAATCTTGATTAAGCTTGATCCTGCTGAGTGATTTCCTGACATGTTGCGTATGTGCAGGCATTTAGTTCTCTGTGACGATGAACTGTCCCCAAGATGAGGGACAACACGAACATTTTGACATTGTGGGGACATACAACTGGTCTCCGTGATGAAAAATGTTTTTTTGCTTTTTCTCTCTCCCTCTTTTTGGGGGGGTTGTTGAGGTTAGATGTGTCCAATACCTGGAGGACCTTATCCTTGCATGGTTTGGTCATTTACTTGCTCAAACATACCTGATTCAACTCAGCTGTTGCAGCAGGTGGAGAGCAGGAAAATCACCAGGCTGAAGTCACCATGTACTGTATTAATTTCAATGGAATTCATAATAAGCTGTGAATAAATGCTGTGTGCAAAACTTTGCATCAGGTTTAAATTTCTGACACATTAATTTGCATCCTTGACCAGCAGCACAGCTGTTCTGGCTGTGTTGACCTCTAAAGTGGCGGTCCTTCGTATAGCAACACTGAAGATCCAAATTTTGGCACTGCCATTTATACACCGATCAGGCATCACATTCTGACCACCTCCTTGTTTCTACACTCATTGTCCATTTTATCAGCTCCACTTACTATATAGGTGCACTTTGTAGTTCTACAGTTACAGACTGTAGTCCATCTGTTTCTCTGATACTTTGTTAGCCCCCTTTTACCCTGTTCTTCAGTGGTCAGGACCCCCATGGACCCTCACAGAGCAGGTACTATTTGGATGGTGGATCATTCTCAGCACTGCAGTAACACTGACGTGGTGGTGGTGTGTTAGTGTGTGTTGCGCTGGTCTGAGTGGATCAGACACAGCAGTGCTGCTGGAGTTTTAAACACCTCAGTGTCGCTGCTGGACTGAGAATAGTCCACCAACCAAAAATATCCAGCCAACAGCGTCCTGTGGGCAGCGTCCTGTGACCACTGATGAAGGACTAGAGGATGACCAACACAAACTGTGCAGCAGCAGATGAGCTATCGTCTCTGACTTTACATCTACATGGTGGACTGACAAGGTAGGAGTGTCTAATAGAGTGGACAGTGAGTGGACACAGTGTTTAAAAACTCCAGCAGCACTGCTTTGTCTGATCACCACCCAAATAGTACCTGCTCTGTGTGGGTCCATGGGGGTCTTGACCACTGAAGAACAGGGTAAAAGGGGGCTAACAAAGTATGCAGAGAAACAGATGGACTACAGTCTGTAACTGTAGAACTACAAAGTGCACCTATACAGTAAGTGGAGCTGAGAAAATGGACAATGAGTGTAGAAACAAGGAGGTGGTCATAGTGTTATGCCTGAACGGTGTATATTTCTTATTGATTGGCTACAAATAAACGTAAACGAGAGGCTTTAAATAGATCAAAGACCTGAATACCTAATTGACAAAAGCAGCCTTTATGACAGACAATGCAATATTGGAGTAAGCATTTATAAGTGCTTATGTAGGTCTATGGCAGTTGTCCTGAAAGGCCTACACAGGTGTCATGCAGCCTTATGAACACTGCCCTACGATAGGTCCTCAAAGTATTATAGAAACAGTAATATTAACTCGTGTATGTGTGTTTGATGTTGTCTTGCAGTCGGGGCAGGATATCTCAGCTGTATGTGGTTCTTCAGGGTCTGCGGCTAAGCGAGCTTCTCCCAGCGTTCATCACCTTGTTGTGCCCAGAGTCCCACACACCGTTTATCTTCCCTCACACCCGCTCTCGCCCTTCGGCCACCCCCGCCATGCCCACCCTGCCTGAAGAGGAGGAGGACTCTCCGGAAGAGATGGACAGCTCCTCCAGCTCGCCCTCCACCGTGAGTGAGCCTCCCTCTCTCTCTACACCTGTTTCCTCATGTAGGGATGTAGTAATCCTGACGAGTTGGAACACTTTCTACCATCCACTTTCTCCCTCTGCTCCTTATCACACACAAATGCAGTGCTCATGGTAGGAAGAAAGTGAAGCATCCTTTTTTGATTACTTTATATTATTACACTATAAACCGTCACTGTCATATCTCCAAATGATAACTTTAATGGAGAAGCAAAAAACAAGTTTTTGATGTTCAATAATGTTCTTTTTATCTCAAGAGTATTATTTTGGACCATATCATCATGAAATTAAATTCATGTAATCATGAAATGTATGATGATGTCATATCAAAATCACATAACCTTTGTTTTTTTTTTAAAACGCCTGCCGTCTTTTACATTGTGAGAACATTTCCTGATGAATGAACTGACAGAAATGGTCCAAAATCACTTGGAATAAAACCTTTTGTATTTTGTGTCTTTCTCCTGTAAAGCGACCATTTTGGAGTTTTGCTACAACAACAGTGATGCACATTAAAGACCAGGGTTGCCAGGTGTCCAATTTTGGACCAGACAGTCCAGAAAGATCGCTATCCAGTCTTAAAATGTCTAGTAGAATCTCACTTTAAACGCATCCCCTGAATTGAACTAAATAACGTGCTGTTCTAGTCCTGTCATTACACCTCTCTCTCTCTCTGAAGCACTCGCTCACTCTCTCTGTTGCTTGCAGTCTTGCACGGGGACGTGTGCACAGAGATTTTCAGGCTCAGGTGCGTTCTGCGGCTGCATTTCAATGTACATGTACTGTATTGATTAGCACATCAAATTAGTGCACCATCAATGGTGCCATTACTATTTTTATCAGGGTGATTCAAAAAGATTCATCCGATTTCAAAGTGCCATGTTTTTAGAACCGTGAAGCGCCTAGGAACCAATCACAATCCAATTAAAAGAGGGGGTCATAGAGTTTCTGACCCCTGAGCAGAAAGCGTTCTGCGTTCTCCACTTCAATAAGAGTGAATCCGTCATAACTGTGCAGTGTGATTTTAATCGGCAGAGAACCTCCAACAGCTCAGAGCGTTCGTCGTTGGTTCCACAACACTGGATGATCTGAAATCGCACTGAAAGAGCCGTGAGTGACATCTGACATGCTCAATCGAGTATGGGATGAATTTGTTTATTTGTTTATTTGTTTATTATTGGTGTTGATGTTGTCCGTACAGCTGGAGGAGGTTCATACTGAGACCTTGTAAAATTACATAATAAACTTTATGCTCATTTAAACCATTTACAGTTCACTGCATTGTTCTGTAATGATTTACAAGTGAAATACATCATTTTGAAATCGGATGAATCTTCTTGAACCACCTTGTATTTAGTACAGTTACGCTGGGTGTTGGTGCGGTTCAGGATAAACCTCTTATTTCTCAGTTTCCAAAAGTTGTTAAATAGGCGTCTTAATCTTATGCATCAGTTAACTTACAGAGGACAGAGTGAATAAACAGATTGTTCACCTCAAAGTTTTCAATGGCAGAACAAATAGTTGACTGGAAAATTTATTTGTACAGCATCTAACGAGTTTAATATATAATGTATATGTGTGTTTTCTTCAAGTATGATAAAAAATGCAAAAACAAGTCAGATAACTATCAAAGTGTTTTCAAATAGGACAAAAACTAAAGACAAAAACATGGTAAGACATCATTTTGCCACTGTACCCTTCCTGCATCTACAGCTGTCAGGTTTTGACACGCTGAAATCTGGCAACTCATAGCTACTTATGTTAGCTTTGCTGATTTCCCGTTGCTGCTAGAGTAGCACTAGGATCTGCATCTTGCTGTACAGCAAAAATAACTTATGATTAATCTTTCAAGCTTGATTTGAAGCTGTTTTCACTGTGAGTCACGTTCATCACCAGTGAGTGTTGCTGTAAGGAAAGAGTTTGTTCCTTTTCCAGTAACTTCTTGTTCCTGCTAGTTCATTGAGAGTGCTTGTTGGTACTTATAGGGTTCTTACATTGTATTTTTAGCCATTAGCTCACCTGGACTCCTTAACCAAAGAGTCTAGCTGTTTTGGTTTGAGCTCTGAAGGACTTTTTATTAGGCCCTATAATGTCCGCTTTCCTATTTGAGTAGCTGTCTCTGTCATATAGTCTCAGTGACTAAAACCATAGCACTGTCTGAAGAGGCCCAGGAAAAAGACAGGATTGACTGTTCTGTTTCTTTTTTGGAAACCAAGGATTGTTGGGACATCAAAGCCTGCTACGCTCTGCTGTTTCATTAAAGCAACTGCGATACTCTGCTGAGAGAGCAGAGACGTCCCACACAGACACTCATAAAGTTCAGGGCCCAGATAAGACTCTGCCGCAGGACCATATTAAACTCTGAAAATCTAATCCCAGAGTGCAGGCCAAGCAAATAAAAGCAACTCTTACTGCTGCATTACAGCAGCGTTATGCTATTTGCTGTGACGTATCATTTAAATATGTACTGTATTACACTGTAGATCTTTAGCAATGATGGCCAGTTCATAGAGAACTGAAAATATAGCAGACGTTTTAGAGGACAGTGCTCATATATGGAAACCAAGTTATTTAAATTTATTGCTTTTTCGATGTCACCAAAACCAACGCATTTACATACATCTGCCTGATCCAGAGGTCAGCAATCCAAATGTTGACAAGAGCCATTTTGTCTTTTCAACAAAAATCAAACCACCTTGGGAGCCACAGCATTTTATGTCCATTTTACCGTCTTGGCTGTAAATATGTCTCAGTATGCGCTGATGTGCTAGTAAAGGCTAAAAATTATAAATGAAAACGAAGACTTACTTTGCTTTAAGCTTTAGGCCACCTATAGCTGATTTTCTCGCATCTCCGGCAGGAAACTTTTCTTCAAAAGTGTAATAATTTCTTCTAAAAAGTCTCTTAACATTCAGCTTTTTACGAGGCTGAATTCAGCTTCTCATTCCCCACCTTCTGGTTCGCATTTTCTCGTTACACCTTAAACGGTGACTGAGGTGCTGGAATGTAACTGCTGCTTCGTTTAATGTGGAACGAGACAAATTCAAATGAGAAGCTGACTTCAGCCTCACGCCTGTTTAGAGTTTGACAGTTTCTCATTGCAGATTAAACGTATCAGGAAACCAGCTGAGTGATTACGAATGCAAATAAGTCCATTTGTCTCTATATTATCGATGTTCATCTTAAATCTTTATCTTTGCCTTTTCAGTAGCCACTAGCTTGGTATTGTTGTCTGTTATTTGCTAAGTCTGTGCACCAACCTTCAGGGTTAAAGGGTGAATTAGCAGTTCGACATTAACTCCAGCGTTTAAGACGAGGATTATTTTATTCTTACCAACAAATCTAATTCTGCTGTGGAGCCGCAACAGGGCAGTAAAAGAGCTGCAAGTTGCCGACCCCTGACCTAATCTGTCTTTAGCAGTTTAGCCCCACCCTTTCAAGGAGTGCTTCAGCCTGGACTGCTTTTTGAATGAGACGTAATATAGGGCAGCCAATCAGAACAGAGATCATTTACGTATATCAGTCTAAAAGGCACAGAAACAGCCTGTTTTATTCTAAAGGATATAGAAAGGTTGGAAATGATGTTGTAAAAATAAATTGACAGGTTTTTTTAGTACATAAAACCACACAAATGTTTCAACTGTACCTTAGGGAGCAAAATAAGTACAATATGGGTTTTATCATGAAGAAGCAGTTGCTATGAGTTCAGTGAAGCAGAAGGAAACGACTATGGACTGTTACAAAGACTAATCTCATGATGGGAGCAGGATGTGATTACAGACGGGCTGTTTTCCCGTGGGACGAGCCCGTGTGTATGTTGTGCAGCGGCTCTCAGGAGACCAAGTTTTAGAGCATTCTGTGGAAGTTCTGGAGACGTTCGAGCAAAGCCTGTTGCAGATGGAAAATCTCCCTGCGGCTGATGGACCACCTTCTGAAACCGGCCATGTTCTGATGCTTCCTGAAATAACCACCAAGCTTCTGTTTTTTTTTTTTGTTTTTTTTTTCCCATAAATTCTTTGAACGTTTTGGACATTTGTTATGTTCCCCGCTCAGCTGTAACCATGGAGAGCTCTCAGTGCTGTGGTTTTCCACTGAAAACACGGATGCACGGATAATTTTCATCCTTTGCTGTGTGCATGTTCTAATCAAGACGGTGATGCATGACGTGCCAGCCACATAAACCACATTAGAAAGATGAGCCCGAGATGGGCAATGGCCTTCTTTGTTGGACAGTAGAAGTGTGTCATTTGCCTCCCATCCTTCTAGGAAATATTAAAAACGGTCCATATCATGGAAAACTGAATTTTCCTAAAGTTTTTTTTTTTAAATAAAATGTTGATGTACTATTTTATTTCATATTATACTTACATTGCTGAAATTTTTAAACATTATGAGGTGATTTACATATATTACATATAATATACATATATTCAAAAGCATTTACATATATTTGCCTATTCAACCTACAGACGTTTAGCCTCACCCATTCATGTGGAAGTTACAAGGAGTGTTTCATCCTGGACTGCTTTTCAAATGAGACATGTTCGAAAACAGGGCAGCCAATCAGAATAGAGATCATTTACATGTATCAGTCTTAAAGGCACAATAATGGAAAGAGCCTGCTTAATTCTAAAGGACAAAGAGAGGCTGGAAAATGGTGGTATAAAAGTGATTTGACAATTTTTTTTGGTACGTAAAACCACAAAAAAACAGAATATGGGTTCTTTAACCTTTAGCTAAATATTCTGGTGCCTGAAGAATAAAGCATTGTATATGTAATCCGGGCTTTAGGCTTCTGTTGCTTGTAAGCTTCAAAAGCCTTGTAGCCCCAGTGCAAAACTAAAGAGGCAAACTTTGGACACTGTACATATCTTGGTTTATCATCTACTTTTGGGGTAATGAGAGAATTGTGCAATTTTGCTATCTCTTTAAGTCTGTTTCTGTGTTTTTCAGTACATCCCTGTTGAAACTAAGCTAGTGAATGTGACTATTGCTCCCCCTGCAATTGTACTGCCAAGACAAACCAGCAAACAAGAGCCACGTCCACTGGAGAAAACCAGGTTTGTTTGTCTTTCAAATTTGTGCTTGATTCCAGTAAAGAACATTGTTTTCAACAAATCATTGCTTTCACAAGTAGTGCAACATTTATTCAGCCGATGTCCAGTGGGAATGACAAGGGTATCAGGGCATGAGCCTTCCTGGGTTCACATACGCAGTACTGTCCAAAAGTCAGAGACCCCCCTTCATTTATTCCAGTTAAAAATGCATTAATTTTTCAGGAGATATTTCTGAGGAGGTTAGATGTAGAATAATCCACGTGCATAAAGAAGAGTATGGGGCCCTTGCTGGTGACGTCCTGTATAAAGATGCATGGCCACGACCTAGTAAGGTGTGAGAATGAGATAATTAATATGTGACCACAGCTTTGAGATTAAGAGACCCTTATTAGTCCCACAACGGGGAAATTTCACCTCTGCATTTAAGCCATCTGTGCAGTGAAACACCACATACACACTAGTGAACACACACACTAGGGGGCAGTAAGCATACTTGCCCAGAGCGGCCCTATCCAAGGTGCCCGGGGAGCAGTTGGGGGTTAGGTGTCTTGCTCAAGGGCACTATTGTCACGAACTGTCATCTCAGGAGATTAAACCGGCGACCTTCTGGTCACAAGGCTGATTCCCCAACCTCCAGCCCAGAACTGCCCCCTTAATAAGGCATGATCTCACACCTTAATAAGTTGTGGCCACACTTTAGGATCTTATTCCCGTACATTAATACGTTGTGGCCATGCATTGCTTTTATTTATACGCAATGTCACCAGCAAGGCTCCACAGAAGAGGAAGGAAAATAAGTGAATACGGAGAAAATAGGACTCCTACCAACCGCGAAAGACCTAGTAGACCACCAAAACTGTCCCCTGTCCCCTTCAGATTAACAGCATTTAAAGCTTTCATCTTTGAGACAGAAAAGGAAGTCAAACAAACAAAGAAGCTGCTGGTGTTCTCAGAACAATGGACTGAGCACTCAAGAGTCCAGACCTCAGCATCACCGAATGTGTTTGGAATTCTTAGATTGTGAAAAGCAGAAAACCAACCAACTTGTAAGACTGTGGAAAAATATCCCTGTAGATTTTAAGTCTCCTGAAAAGCATGGAAGATGTACGAAAGGCAGAGGGTGAACACTGAATACTGAAAAAGGGATATTTAGTCGTTGAGATCTAATGTATTAAGGTGTTTTCTGCTTTTCACCTGACGCTGAAAAATGAATAGCTTGTATGTGAGGGACATTTTGACTGCATTTGACTGAAGTGCTCTCTGACTTTTGCACAATACTCTACACAGATAATGTGTTAATCTGTGTTTTTTATCTTGCTGTCTCAGGCCGCACAGTCCTAGACCTCGGCTGTCAAGGAACGCTGGTTCTTCAGGGCCCATCACTACAGTAGGTATGTTACTCAAGCTTAGCCCCAGAGTTTGCCATGTGTTGACATGCAGAATATGTAGTTTTGTGTGCTGTATTTTACGATCAGTTTAGCGAAGCACACACAAGGCCTTTTAGGTTTGTCAATGAAATCCTCTTTGATTTATGACTTCAGCACGCACTATTTTGTACCAGGGTCTTGTAAATGTCTAAATTTGGTCATTATAGAGCTCAGAAACATGGGGGTCTACTTGTGAGGCTATTTTGGAACGCAAAATTTGAGGGACTGAGACAATTTTGCTTTGATTACAGTTTATTTTGGCATAATGCCCTGTGCTGAGCTAAGAAAAGAGGATATAGATTACATCTGTGTGTGTGTGTGTGTGTGTGTGTGGGATTTCTGTATCCATGTGTGTGTGTGTGTGTGTGTGTGTGTGTGTGCTTCTCAGATAATGATGGCCACGTGATTGACCTGGTGAAGGATCAGCTCCCGGAGATACAGCTGTCGGAGGAGGACCGGCAGAAAAACCTGGAGCTGCTGGAGGAGGCAAAGAAAGTGAGTGATCGGTTCCTGACCCGTAGGGGGCGACGATCAACCTGCAGCCTCACAGAGTCACCCACAGGTAACTCCAGCTCTAAATGGACTTCTAAACTTACAGGCCTCCAGCTCTTCCTCTAAACTCTAAACTCAGCTCAAACTTACAGGCCTCCAGTGTTTTCTTTGGGGCACCTGGAGCACTAAGTCAAAAGATTCAGGAGTCGCAGTAAAAATCAGAGAAATAAGAAAAACTGAACGATGCAGAAACATGCAGCGCAAATTGAGGCAGAATTTTGAAAGTGTGCATTTCAAAGGTCACTACTGTGACCTGACATTGCCAAATGCTGCTGTCATTGCACACACATTTTCACACTTTCTTGGTTGACTGATGGTGTCGTGAACAGTCACATGCAAAAACCCCCAGTCAAATTACATTTTGTGGATTTTCTATATGAAAATAACACATCCTCTATAGGAAAACAAACTTAAATATAGCAATTTCCTGCACATTTTAGTGCACAATTACTATTTTTTTTTGCTGAGTTTAGCATATTGGAAAAAATATATAAAATAAAATTAATTGTTCAGACATTTAAAACTTCTGCATTTCACAGTTTATGTTTTATTTTTTCCCAACATGTTAAATTCAGCAAAGAAACAGTATTTGTGTATTAAAATGTGCAGACGTGTCTCTGTAGAGGATGTTTAACTTAGTTTTGTTTAGAAAATCAACAACACATGTAATTTGACCAAAGGCACCCAAACCTTTGCACACTATTTTATGAGATGTAAGTGCACATTATTCACACCGCTAAGTAATTTTAAACATGTGCCCTGCAGCTTTGCCCAGCTTTGAATTTACATGTAGGTTTTAGAGTTTCCACTTCAGCCCCATTAAATTCCTGGACACTCAATCAGTGGCTTCATTTTTACTGCATTCAGCAGGTGGACAGCTGTGCCCACTACACAGTGTAAGGTGATTAGATGTCAGTTCAGCTGGAGATCCTAATCTTCTGTTACCCTGCCGCAGTGCTGTCTAGTGCCTAAACATGTCGCCAGCAGTGCACCTCTCCCAAAAAGCTGTCTTTATCCAGAGTGCAATCTGAGCTAATCAGACCCATTCTTTGTATACAAATGGTTTGCCTGGATAGAAACAAGCAGTTTAATCATAATGAGAAATATGAAAATGCGTGGATTCCTGAACATTGTGTGTGCGTGAATGGAATTAACTTTTCCTGGAGAGCCACCAAAAACCTGGACTTTTCAGGGTGGCAACCCAAGTAGTTTATATTCCTTCAGCAGAAGCTCTTATTGAGGCCAACTTGCAAAATGTGCGATGAGTTGGAGCTGTTTGGGGTGTAAAGATTCACAATGCTGGGTTCACCTTTCAGACTTGAGCAAAATTCAAATGAAGAAAAATGACTTTATTTATGTTGTTGCAAAGAACACTTGAGCTGGGAGACAGGAGGAGGGCCAGGGCTCATCTTTGCACTAGGCAAAGATAGGAAGCCACCCAGGGCCCCCATGAAGACATAGATTAGATATACTGTACGTCTTGATGTTAAATAACCTCTTCTGAAATGTGTATATATATATATATATATATATATATATATATATATATATATATATATCAGAAATAGCTGTTACTTGCTGCTGTTTTAATTATTATTTTTGATATTATTATTATTATAGTAATTTTGTTAAGTGAAATTCTCACGATATTGGCAGATAATTTTGCATATTTATTAAAACAAGCTCAATTATCCACTAATATAATGAGATAATTTCACATAATAAAATTACTTGAAACAAGTAAAAAATATTTAGATATAAGTCAGGGAAACCAAACTTTTCCTTTTTTTTTAAACAAAATAGATTTATTTAGTATGTAGACAAAACCTAAGCTGCAAAAACAGCCCATTTTTAAATCATTGTTTTTGTGATGTCATTAAAAACCCAACTCATTTACATTTACATGTATCTGCCCATGTAGCCAACAGCTGTTTAGCCCCACCCAGTCACGCTGAAGTTGTAAGGAGTGTTTCAGCCCAGTGAATAAGACGCAATACAGGGCAGCCAATCAGAACAGAATTTACATATATCAATCTTAAAGGCACAGTCAACAGGTTTATTAAACCTCTTATGCTCGTGGGTATATTTCGGTTTTCCATCTGAATTTACAGGCCCAAATCGAAGGGCAAATTATTCAGTAACTGCATGAAATAAATGTAAATTTTAGGTATTTGTTTTTGTACAAGCTCCCCTTCAAATGAACAGAACATGTGTTTTATGATCATACACATATTGCTATATGCTCACAATTTACTGCTGAAAGCCAAAAATCTTAGACGCTCTTTGTATTATTTTATAAAAATAATTTTTACAGAGCAGATCACTGAAGAGACGCCATCTGAGATCCAGTTTGTAGCTCAGATTTGTGGAAAAATGGGTCGACTTTCAGTAGAAAAAAAAATTTTGAGTTCAGCTTCTTTTATTATAAGGGTTTAAAATTACATCACCCATCTATTTGACTGGAAAGAAGACAGTTACAGCTCCCATATGACACCCAGCTTTTGAATGAAGCTTATGAAATATGAAAGTTATGAAGTAAAGAATATGACAAAGTGTGTTTTGGAACCACCGGAGGTCTCAAGGAGTTAAAAGGTTCATTCTAATGGATAAAGAGAGGCTGGAAAATGGCCAGTCAAATATAAAAGTACTGTTGTGGGACAAAAACCCACAGAAATGAACTAATTTAAAAATATGCATCCCGGGGACCCCATTCCTGTCTTTTCCCTAGGGCCCCCTGAGGAGTGCTGGAGTAAGGCTCTGATTGGTGTCTAAACAATGCAGGTGCATTCAATACCATAATTAACAGAATGTCGATTCTCCATGATGCACATGGTCTCATATCACAATGTCACTATGCATTTTTACACCCTAAAACTGATACAAAATACCCAGAGGATTTGCAGGGATTCATGACCTAAAAGACAAAAGCCTTATTATGGCTTACTTCAATGTAATCTACTACAAAGATAATCAAAGTCCCTGAATCCAACCATAAACACAAACGTTAAGTGCAGAAAACCCAAGTGCATAAAACTAAAGTGCAGATAATATCAGAGTGTGCTGCCCTAAGTATTGTTTGAAGAGGTAAGTCTTTTGTTCATGGTGGAAAGAACAGAGAGACTGGTACTGTAAACTTAAAAAGAAAGCCCGTTTCACCACTGAGGGGCAAGAACGTGAAAGCAGAGGCCATACTTTATGGTCCAGCCTAGACGTCAGAGAAGGACATGCCAAGCAACCAGAAGTTAAAGCTGCAATATGTTACATTTTTTTGTTAAATTTGCCAAAGAAAAGTAGCGCTACTGAGTCAGGAGTGAAAACACGCTAAAACATGGTGCCTGCCAGTCTCCCTGTACAGCACGAAATAAACATTTTAAAGCCAGCAGTGTCAGATTGGATTTCACAGGTGTTTTCTGGGCCACATCATACATCCCTATTTATTATTATACATCAGTTAGTTCCAGCCACACAAGCTGATTGGTTGAGAAGCGCTCTAACCGCGCTGTTATTTCACCATAACATCACAGTATTTCACAAACACTGTATCACTCCACTGAGAGACTAAGCAACGACTTTGACAGCTGTAGGAGACGCTCAAGCCATTTGAACCTTTTTACTTCTTACTTTGCCACAAACAGAAAATGGACACTTTTAAGATCACATTTGACCGACAGCCGATTTGGTCAGACTCTGAAGATGAGACGACACTAAATTCCCAAACGGTCAGTTGGTCTGTGTGGAGCTGGAGAACGAACTGCCGGCTGTGCAGCGAGTGAGCAGAGTTTGTTACTCTGACGTAGCAGCAAGCTTCTTGTTAAGGAACTATAATTTGGTGGAAGGAACTGCGAACATTAAAACATATTAAACGCCGCGTTCACGGCCCAGTTTATTAATGTATTACTTTATTTATTTAACTGTTGTATAAAATATGGATGATCTACGGTACTTACCTTCGGCTTGTGCCTGTGACCAAATCACAGCCGTGATGTTATTTCACGATAACACACTCCCTCTGGTGTTCTATAACTTAAATATCACAGAATCAAGAAGAATGTCCAGCTCAGTGTTTACATCGCAAATGCAAAGTCAACATTATACTGATGAAAATACGATGACAAGAGTAGATAATTCATTCACCACCGTGTCGTTCACCAGTTTTGACTGAGTTCTTTGAATACTCCTTCAGCGTGCTCTCAGTCATCAGACTCATCCGCTCAGGGAAGCGGTCTGAAGCACAATCGGTGTTACAAAATGTTCTGCACGTTGCATGCAGTTACACGTTTCCACCAGAGAGGTCTCCAAATCCCCAAATGCACATAGTGTAGCTTTAAAATCACTGTGAATCAGACATCATAATGCATTTTACGTCCGTGCTGTGGTGTATTTCAGAGTGAAATGCAGCATTAGGAAGAGGCTCTGAGCTGGCTGACTATTTCTCTTGGTGAGAGATGGGGGTAGTTATTATTTCATGCCCACTGGAGTACAGGGGCATAATTAAAACTCAGAAGGTGTGGGGCAGAAGAGGTGTGCAAAAGTCTCTACACTTATTTCAAAGATTACACGAGTTTTGTCATTTAAATTGCATGGTATGATGAATCATGTTCAATATGACCAGGATTGATTTGAGGTTGTCTTACATGTTTCTGCTGAACTCTGACTCTCCACTCTGCTTTCAGTTCTAACATTATAGGCCTCAGTGAAATTAAATCAGAATCACGTTTCATTTCCATTATGAACAGCAAACATTCACCCAAACGTGCATTCCTTCCTTTATTTAGATGTTTTTTTTTCTTTCTGTTTATTATTATGTGATGAAGCATGTGCAAACCCAAACGTGGTTAACACAAGTGTGTTTGGATTTCAGCTCTCTCACCCAACCCGACTCCCGGCTCTTCTCCCGCACCCTCACGCAGCAGCTCCACCTCTGCTCCCCCACAAACAGGTACAACCTTACAGTTACACGCCTTCACTGACCATCACTGGTGTGGAAGTTCATCACTGGCGTGACCTACGACCTACAGAATAATGATCTTCTTTTTCTGTTTTGTGGTTTGCAGCTGGTTTAACTATAGAGGTCACACCAAGCCCCCCTACAAGCTCAAGTACAAGTCAGGTGAGTTATCTGTGATTGGTAATGTCACTTTATGCAATATTTATCTCTTCTTAGTGATTATTAGTGACTAATATGGACTACAGCAATTCTCTCATTGCTCCAACATTGTTATGTATACCTCTTATATGGTCAGCGACTGGAGGTGCCTGCTGTGCGTGAGCATGGAGAAGTAAATAAAGCGGACCAGGAGGTCAGTCAATTATATTTTGCCAGTCTCTGTCACTCTTTCTATTACTGTTTGTTTATTAACCCTTAGAAGTCTTGGGTTATACTGTCACTTTGCTTTGCTATTTTAAAGTAATGATGTATTTTAATACATAATGACATAGTTGAGTTAAATTTCCATTCAGTTTGAGTCTGCACTACTGACTTTGGTTTGTTTTGATGTGAACAAAACAACAAAAACATGGGAAAAAATAACAGACCTTGTTCTTTAAACAAGTCGTGACTACGCACGCATCAGTTTTTCTTTATATTCAAATGATAATAAGATTCACAGACGAATGTGGTGTTGATCGCACTTTCGACAGCACATCTTTGCTTGTTTCAATGAACAAACTGAGAAATAATAAGAGGGTTTCATGGCATTTACAGTTGTACACAACAGTTTAAACACTCCTTGTCAAATTACATGTTCTGTTGACTTTCTAATTGAAAATTAATTAACTTTCTAACTGAAAATTAATTAACCGTCTTCTACAGGGAACACTCCTCAATATGACTTTTTCAGCAACTTTTATTGGGGCACAATATGTTAAATTCCACAAATAAACAGTGATTGTGAATTAAAATGTGCAGGAGTCTTCTCGGTAGAGAATTATTATTTTATTATTATTATTATTATTATTTATGTGTATTTACTTATTTTCACTTAGAAAATCAACAAAACTTAATTTGCATATGACTATACACCAATGGCAACCGAGATTAATTAAATTGTTCAAAAACGTCAGTAATTTATCACTGCTTTCACAACAAAACCTCATATCTCTAATTTTGTCGTTTTTTTGTTTTTGACATAATATGAAAATGCTTGTTGAACTTTACATTGTTTGTAAATTTCATGAAGAATGGACCAAAAGAAATGGCCCAAAATGACTTGGAAAAAAGTCTGGTTCCATTGACTTACATTAAAAGTAAAGTTGTTTTTTTCTTCTCCTGTAAAGTTACCATTTGGAGATTGAGGTTTTGTTCCCACAGCAGCGCTGTGCAGTAACTAAGTGTCAAAAGACAGTTGTAAAGTATGTGTTCAGTAACATTAAACTTTCCCCTTCACTCCCATGTAGAGTCTAAAGAGACTTGTGGACTGGAAGCCACCTGAGAAGCGTAAGGTTTCCTCTGGCACTCTGACTCCTCGCCATGCCGCTCCTGCCACAGCTAGAGAGCCCATCACAGCTCAGAAGGACAGCACAGAACCCGGCCAGGGAAAGAAGCCTGGCCCACCTTCAGTGAAACCAGACAGTCAGACCCCAGCCACCGGAGTGGCCAAACCCGTCCCGCGGCCGCCCACCCAGCAAGCGCCGTGCACGGCCGAGATCAAAACCATTGGAGCCTTCCCACCCCTTATGAGGGCCGTCTCCTGGGATGCTGTGGGCTCCGTAAGGAACGGTGCGCCCAAAGGAGATGAGGATGGTCCTTTCCCGGAACTAAAATCTTCTGGCTACAAGGACTTCCCGGTGCCTCCAGTCCAGAAACTGTCCAAGCTGAGAGAGGTAATCAGTTCAATTCAGTTCATTTATATGGGGCTTTAAACCGCATTGTCATTAATCTGCATCACATAAATCCAGGTCTAGACCCCCAGTGAGCAAACGCTGAGAGTAACTATGACTTAAAAAGGATTTCACTGATTTTTCTAAATTTCCAGATAGCTTAATCATCAAAATTATTATATTATTTTTATATAATTATATTAAAGTTATTATATTATTCAAAGTGGTTTGATGGGCATCGATGCATCGCAGAGGAAATTACTAGCTCAAAATGATTTTCAATGGTTGTGACAGGAACCTGGGGTCATGATGTCTAGTACAACCATAGTGAACCTAAATGTCTTCTGAATTTCTACACCTAATGTTGGTAAAGGTTAAATAGTGGTGTATGAGAAAGAAATAACTTTTCTTTGGTTAATATTTTGCCTTAGCATGCCCTTCATGTACCTCTCTACCATGATTCGATTTAAAAAAGTATCATACAACAATGTGTTTGGCATCAGGCAATGTATCTGTGACCACTTCATGTAATAACTTTCTGTGAGGGAGTTTTTAGGGGCATTAAACTTTGTCGAACGTCTGGTTCCTGTCACCACCACTGTGAACAATTCTGACTCAGTAAGTTTCTCCAGAATGGATCCTTTCACATCACAGCACTTACATGACTTTGTTTACATCTTTTTAAAATATTTCATTATGCAGAAATGTTGAAAAATCAGCAAAAATCCTTTTTAAAGGGGGAAACTATCCTCCACTGGGCCATACTGGATAGTGGAATGACAACAAAAGTTCAAGACAGCTTAACAGGAGAACTCAGCCAAAACAGAACATTTACATGTAGTGAATAAAATAAAATAAAATAAAATAAATATAAAATAAAATAGAATAGAATAAAATACAATAAAATAAAATAAAATAGAATACAAAAAAATAAAATAAACATGCATTCCTACCATCACTCACTCATACACACACACACACAGTCATGCCTGTAACCTTTACATCGTGCGAAGTATGCGTCTAAAGTTAAAGTGCTGAGTGCAGCAGCAGTTAAAGGGTGTGTAGTGGCAAAGTAAGGGATCAGTGAGGTGACAGTCAGATAAGTGGGGTAATAAGGCAGGTAACTATTGCATCTGTAGGCCTCTGTTGATAAACATAAACTAGCCAAAACAAATTTACTATAAAATGAAATAGTGTTTGTATAAATTCAGAAAAAAGAAACACGCCAGTCACAACTGCATATGTGTACATATTTCTATATTGTGGTCTATTTACACAAAGTTAAGTTAGAGTCAGGAGTTTCTTCCATCATTTATGTTGAATAGACACTCCCAAAGTTTTACACTGTTGCACTGTATGTTTGCATTGGGTCGGTATGACCAACAGGTCAAAACAAGCTCAAAACAAAGTGTATGCTGTGCTCTGATTGGTGTTCTTGCTTTGCGCTTCTTTCGTTTTAACATATTACGTTTTCATGCACACATAAACCAAAAGGAACAACAGATTTCGTATAATGTAATGGAGTGAAAGTAAAAAGTCACTCAAAATGGAAATACTTCAGTAAAGTACAGATACACGAAAAAACTACTTAAGTACAGAAACGAATTACATTTACTTTCTTACTGTCAATCACTGCCAAAAACTGCATTTAAATGGCAGTTATAGAAATGTCACACCTGGCCTCCCTGGAATTATCTAAGATAAATCACCATCATCCTCTGTTAAACTCTGCTGTGTTATAATTTGTAATTAGCTACACATTAGCTTGAATCATTGCCTCACCAAAAAAAAAATCAGTGAAAAAAAAATGTCCCCTTACTCTAAACTTAGTCAATCAAACAAGGCATGTTTGGTGTCTGAACTTGGCTTTAATTTTGCACTGGAGCTATGAGGCTAATGTGGCTAAAACAGACTTCCATTACATTAGCCTTGCAACTTTAGCATGGAACTTTTTCCATTTCTTGGCTGATCAACTAAATTTGGGATAAGAAAACCAATCACAACATAGCAGGAGTTTAAAAGGGAGGTGATCACTGTCCATCTGTGGTAATTCTGGGGCAGCCAGGTGCATCAAGAGAGTGGATGGTACAAACAACGGGCTAATCTTAGGCTCTCTTGATGATTCAATTATTATTATTATTATTATTATTATTATTATTTTAATTTGATGTTACAACCTTTGTGTGACTCTTGTAGCTCACAGGGTTTTAGGACCCTTGGGGCAAGGTATGATGCAAGAAGTAACAGAGTTCAGTACTGTCTGTTCCTGTGATGGTCTAATGTGGTCAGATGACTATAGAAAGAAAACAATTCCAAGCTTATCTGAATCATGTGAGCTTGTTTGTCCTCTTTCAGGAACATAAGCTGATGAGGAACCAGAGCATCTCTGGGTCAAAGCTGCCGGACCTGAGTGAGACGGCTGAACAGGAGAGAGGTGCGACCCCAGCTGGCATTCATTCAGACCCTGTCTTTACATGAACCTGATGACCTTTTCTTCCAATGGAACTGTCTAAACATGTTATTACATACACACACCAGAAGATGGCAATAAACTTGTCATTATTAGTTTACAGGCCAACTGTAGATATCTTGTCAGAGAAGGTCAACAAGTGTGGACATTCTAAGCAGCACTAGTATGTACTAATTAGACTACTGTTTCTCAGTCCTGGTTGTGGAGAGCCCTGCCCTGCATGGATATGGATATAGTTAGATATAGACAGATTGGAAAACACTGTAAACAGACCAACATCTCACTTTGCTCTCTCATTCTCAGGTCCCTCCTCTCCTACAAGTAGCTCCCCAGCAGATGAGGAGTCGAAAGAGAAAGCAGATGCCATGCCCAACATATCAGACATCATGCTGCGCAAGCTCAAACTACACCGAGGCTTACCAGGCTGGTCAGCACACACTGCATTCACCATGTCATAAGCCCTCTACTGCATATCATATCGCTGCTGTCGGAACAAAACCTCGTATCTCCATTTTTGTCGTTTTCCAGTTTTTTTACATAATTTGAAAAAACCTTTTGTCCTTTATATTGTATCAAACTTTCATGATGAATGGGCCAAAAGAAACGGCCCAAAATTGCTTAGAAATATGTCTGGTTCCATTGACTTACATTAAAAGTAAAGAAGGTTTTGTTCTGACAACAGTGATATACAAACCTCAATTCCAAAAAATCTGTGAGTTTATATAAATATGATCATAAAAACGAAAAGCAGTGATTAGTAAACTCTGTTGGGCCTATATTAAATAAAAAAGGAGAAAAAACACAACATTTGATGTTTGAGCTTATAAACCGTTTAATATACCTTCATTACAAATTTGAGGCCTACAGCACATTCCAAAAAAGTTGGGACAGGAGCATGTTTACCTCTGTGTTACCTTTCCTTTTACCAACACTTAATTGTTCGGGGACTGGAGACATCAATTCATCCAGTTTTGAAAGTGCAGTTATTTGCCATCAGTCACACAACCTTCATATTCATATTTTTATAATGCACCATATGTTTTTTAATGGGAGACAGGTCTGGACTGCAGGGAGGCCAGTCTCAGACTTTCTGATTACACAACTATGCTGGTGGAGAGCGTGGAGAATGTGGCTTGGTGTTGTCATGTTAAAATGAACATGGACATCCCTGAAAAGTGTTGTTATATAGAATGCAGTGTATTTTTGTTCCACATTTCAGCCTTAATGGTGCCTTCACAGATGTGCAGGTTACCAATGTAATGGGCACTAATACACCCCTAGACCATGACAAAACCTGACTTTTGAACTTTATACTGGTAACAATCTGGATGGTTCTTTTCTTACCTGGCCTGGAGAACACAACATCCACTATTTCCATAAACAATCTGATGTGGTGATATACATAACGCGTATATCGTTGCTGTCCAGTGAAAAACATGTATCTCCTTTTTTTTGCGATTTTTTTTTCTGAATCATTTGAGCTCAACAGCTGTGTGAAAATTTGATGATGACTGGACCAATAGAAATGCTCCAAAATTTCTTAGAATAATTTTTTTTTCATTAATTTACATTGAAAGTAAAGAACATTTTTGCCCTCTCCTTTAAAGTTACTATTTTAGAGACACTTGTTTTTCATTGGACAACAACAAAATGCAGGTTTTTCGTGTAGTGCTATCTGACAGATTGAAGGTCACGGAGCATTCATCTGTGGCTTTTGGTCTTGCGCTTTACGCTTTATGCAAGGCTGTAATACCTAAAATCCTTGCATTCACTCATTGATGAAAGCTGTTCTCAAACCGCTAGATTTTTCGCTGACGCATTTTTTCCAAAATGGCAGTCTCAACTCATCCTTTCTCATAAAAGACCAGGGCCTTTATATCCAAACATGATTGCATCACCTGTTTGGGATGAACACCTGTTTTCAACATTTCACAATGTTCCAATTCTTAAATTGTCCCTGTCTCAACTTTTTGGGAACATGTTTATTTACAATAAGGTAAAACATCAAATATCTCATCTTTATACTGTTTTCTACTTTGCACTGTTTCCGCAGCAAATCACTGCTTTCTGTGTTTCTGTGTTTATTCGCATTTCACATACTATTCCAACTTCCTGGGAATTGAGGTTTGTAATACAGCATGCAGTACAGTTGAGCTATGTTATGTCAATAACTGAACCTTTGTGTTCTTTGTTCCAGCGCACCTCCTCTCACAGAGAAAGAAGTCGAGGTGGGTGTTTATCACCTTGTTTCAAACACTTTAACGTGTTGTGACTGTTATATCAGCGTGTGTTCTCCACTCAGCCTCTCTGGTGTGTGTCAGAGCAGCAAAGGAGGACAGATCAGCCCACCAGGGAGGGAGAGAGCGTTCATTAAACAAACGGTGATAGAGGAGGGATTATGAGGATGATTAGGAGGATCGTTTTTTATTAGACAACAATGAGTCATAGAGGTCATAACAGCACTAGTTGCCAGTTACAGTGCAACTGGCAGCTGCGCTGGCCGACGGTACACTGTGTCCCTGACTGAGGCTGTTTTGAAGGCACTGATGTATGGAAAGTCCATGGCATTCTGTCTGCACTCCCAAGCCTGGCTTAGGACGAGGCAATTTTGATGGGCCTTAGTGGTTTCCTGTCCCCTGTGAGGAAGCGCAAACATGCCTCTGTGGATACGATCTGCTCCCAGGATGACGCTAGCGAGCTGGACAGGGTCAAGGCCCAGGCTTCTGCTCTCTGTGTCTTCCCCTTAGACGCTCTGGCTCTGCTGTTTTCTACACTGCGCTTTGATCGCACAAGGGGCTTTCAGGTCATTTCTGCATTCCTCTCCATCGCCAGCTCTGCTTTGATCTTGCGCTTAATGGGCTGAATGCTACAGTGGGCATAACAGACAGGCGTTGCTGAAATCCTTGCCAATTTGTAGGGTTTCGTAGGAGGTATAGAGTTCATCAAATGCAAAACATCTTTTGTCTTGGCTTCCTCATATGGCATTCCAGCCATGTCAGTGGAACTTTTTATTACCTTTTTATGAGTTTCTGAGTATACTGCTGCTTTCATGTAAAGCCTTTCTGCATCTTTGTCATTTTTTACATGTTTGCATAATTTAACCTTTACCTTGTGTTAAAATTTTGAAATTAATAGAACAATAAAATGGCCTAAAATTACTTTTAAAAAATTGGCTACGTTTACTTTCATTATAAGTTAAGAAAGATTTTCCTTCCCCTGTAAATTTACCATTTTGGACATACAAGGTTTTGTTCTGACAGTGAGGATACATCAAATTAAATCAAATCAAATCACGTTTATTGTCACATCACATTTATACAGGTGCGAAGGTGAGTAAAAATCTTAGGTGCGTAGCTCCCTTGTAGAATTTAAATACAATAAAATATATATAAGAAAAAACAGATAAATATAAACACATTAGACTCTAAATATATACCCATATAAACCAGTATTGCACTGTTTCCAATGTACATTGTTTCCTGTTGGACTACTGTCTCCACACCTGGTTTCCTTGCATGCATATTAGGCCAGAAACATACCTCATGCTAGTATGCAAATGCAAAAACAACGCAAACACAACACTTCCATGTTGTTGCATTCTAAACTCTGTCAATGCAATTCATAAAGCAGCACAAGCGCAACCTGTAACAGTGCACATTGAGTCATTGGTCCATCGCTGCCGTTCTCATTTGCGTAGCTGCATCCTTACGGTACATTTCTGGATTTAGTGTCTCTTTTGTTGTTCTCAGAAATGACCCCCTCTCTCCCGCAGAATGCCTTTGTGCAACTGTCCCTTGCATTCCGCAATGACAACTACACGCTGGAGACCCGGCTGAAGCAGGCAGAGAGAGAGCGCAACCTCACAGAGGACAACACGGAGAAGGAACTGGAAGAGTTTAAAAACATGCTGAAGGTCAGCTACAGGAGATAAGAGGGGTGGTGGGGTGCACAATATATCATTTGTTACAGTGCTTTGAAAACATGCCAGTAAACCTCTGATGGTAAACACTGATATGAGCGAGGGTCTCATTTACCATGAATCTCATATCAGTTAAATTTGGTTCATGTGTTGTGTGAGTAACTAGGAGGGCGATTACTTTTTCACAGGGGTAATCCGTTCATTAGATTTCTATCCTTCTTAAAGAAATTATATATTTTTTAAAAACATGTTTCATAAAGTCCTTTTTGTCTAATATTACAGATCTAAAATCATTCACTGTAACAAATATGTAGTAATAGTGAAAATCATTACTGTAATATCAGCCTTTATAAGACTCTTATTATAAAACTTATTATAAGGCTATTTCACCAGGCTGCAAAATGACTCCTCTAACTAATCACAGCTCAACTATGAGCTGGGAGCATCAATGAACCTCAGTTGTAGTTGTGCCGAAGAGTGTTTAGTGTGAGTTTTAACAAATCAGTGATTTGATATGTGATATGATCCGATATCATATTCATTACGTACAGAGCTTTGTTTCGACACTCATTGTCCATTTTATCAGCTCCATTTATTATATAGGTGCACTTTGTAGTTCTACAGTTACAGACTGTAGTCCATCTGTTTCTCTGCATACTTTGTTAGCCCCCTTTTACCCTGTTCTTCAATGGTCAGGACCCACACAGGACCACCACAGAGCAGGTACTATTTGGCTGGTGGGTCATTCTCAGCACTGTAGTAGCACTGAAATGCTGGTGGTGTGTTAGTGTGTGTTGCGCTGGTCTGAGTGGATCAGACACAGCAGTGCTGCTGGAGTTTTAAAACACAACAGTGTCACTGCTGGACTGAGAATAGTCCACTAACCAAAAATATCCAGCCAACACTGTGGGCAGCATCCTGTGACCACTGATGAAGGACTAGAGGATGACTAATACAAACTGTGCAGCAGCAGATGAGCTATCGTCTCTGACTTTACATCTGCAAGGTGGACTGACAAGGCAGGAGTGTCTAATAGAGTGGACAGTGAATGGACACATGTTTAAAAACTGCTGTGTCTCTGATCCACTCAGACCAGCACAACACACAAACACACCACCACCACGTCAGTGTCACTGCAGTGCTGAGAATGATCCACCACCCAAATAATACCTGCTCTACTATAGTGGTCCTGACCTTTAAACAACAGGGTAAAAGGGGGCTAACAAAGTATGCAGAGAAACAGATGGACTACAGTCTGTAACTGTAGAACTACAAAGTGCACCTGTATAGTAAGTGGAGCTATTTTGTCTATATTGTGCAACCACAGTCAATGTATGGGGAATGGGACCCCTAAGAAGTGGCAAAACTCCCCAAGCCAAGATCACAGTTGTTGTCATAGTGTTATTTTTGTTGTTTTCCATTGCAGGGCACAGTGTCATTGTGGCAGAATGCCGAGCAGAGGGAGTCCTACCAGCGCCTCGTCGAGACTGTGGCTGTGCTGCACCGCTTGGCCAACCGTCTATCCAGCCGAGCCGAGATGGTGGGAGCAGTGCGGCAGGTGAGACTTGGCTAGTCCTCCGTTTGCTGGACCCCTGCTGCAAATCTCAGCGAGGAAGTTTCTGACACGCGCGAGTGTTCGTCCTTGTTTTCATGAGGGAAATGGGCCTCTCTTCGAGGGGCTTAAGGGGGCACAGGAATGTGTCTTTTTCCAACCGATATGTTTGTGAGAGATTTAGCCCAATGTTATGCTTGCCCTTAGGTTAATGTGCAAGCCAAAGTAAACTATGTGAATGGAGAGGTACTCAGTGGTATGTCTGTCGCCAGTGGCAACACTTTTAATGTTAGACTCTGCATGCCTCGGGGCCCGGCTGCGAGCATCTTTACCTCCATTAAACCGCTTTTTTCTAACTTATATTAGTACAGTTCTAATCAAATATGTCTACGAGAACGACTCCCTTTGAGAAGATATCAGTCATTCGGTTATCTTCTTTTCTGATTATACAACAGTTAGTTCCGGCCACGCAACCTGATTGGTTGAGAAGCGTTATTTCGCCATAACATCACACAAACACTGTATCACTCCACTGAGACGCCGTTGCTAAGCAACGACTTTGACAGCTGTAGGAGACGCTCAAGCCATTTGAACCTTTTTACTTCTTACTTTGCCACAAACAGAAAATGGACACTTTAAGATCACATTTGACCGACAGCCGATTTGGTCAGACTCTGAAGATGAGACGACACTAAATTCCCAAACTGTCATCACCACTGAGCAGCTTTTCAGTCGGCAGCTGTGACAGAAGAACAGCTAAACAACCTGGAATCAGCCAGAAATGAACCCAACACCATTCACCAAACGTGTAGTCTGATCTTCAGAGTCTGACCAAATCGGACTGAGCCATAAAACTGACCCAATAAACAACAAAAAGCTGCTCAGTGGTGACAGTTTGGTAATTCAGTGTAAGGAGATGGAGAAGGAACTGCTGGCTGTGCAGCGAGTGGGCGGAGCTCGTTACTCTGACGTAGCAACAAGCTGCTTGTTAAGGAACTATAATTTGGTGAAGGAACTGCGAACATTAAAACATATTAAACGCCGCGTTCACGGCCCAGTTTATTAATTTATTACTTTATTTATTTAACTGTTGTATAAAAGCCATAGGACACTCAAGGAGTGTGTTATCGCGAATAACATCACAGCTGTGATGATCTACGGTGACCAAATCACAGCCGTGATGTTATTCCGCCATAACACACTCCCTCTCGTGTTCCACTGCTTAATTATAGCACAACAGGAATCAGGAAGTCCTCACTGAGACCCAGCATGATTACAGCGCCACTTGATCTCTGATAAAGAAACCATCTCTGAAAACCCTTTCATGTGGAAAGATAAGAATGATTATGGGGCCTCAGACATATAGAGGATCTGCAGTTGTGAGGAAAAGAGCTAGCAAAAGGTACATGGGCAGACAAAGCAATGGAGACAGATAATAAGGGAAAATTCCACCGATTTATTTAGAAATTTCTGCATAATTAAAGATGAAGACAGTCAGTCAGAGTGTTGTGATCAGAAATGGTGATGACCAGGGGTCACAATGTCTACAATATATATACAGCCATTTTATTTGCTAACCAAAACGACTATTGAACTTGTTTTTGAGTTTTTTATATGTAACGTTGATTATGGTAAAATAATGATAAATGCAATTTCTGCATGTATCTCTCCACCATGAATATATGTTTAAAAAACATTTTATGCCCAAACAGTGTTTCAGGCACCAGCCAACATATTTGGGAGAATTTTGTGTAAAAACATACCGTGAGTTAGCATTCAGAACAATTCTGACTGGGAGGTTTAAGTTTTTAAACATGTGTCTATTCACTGTCCACTCTATTAGACACTCCTACCTTGTCAGTCCACCTTGTAGATGTAAAGTCAGAGACGATAGCTCATCTGCTGCTGCACAGTTTGTGTTGGTCATCCTCTAGTCCTTCATCAGTGGTCACAGGACGCTGTTGGCTGGATATTTTTGGTTTGGTGGACTATTCTCAGTCCAGCAGTGACACTGAGGTGTTTAAAAACTCCAGCAGCACTGCTGTGTCTGATCCACTCAGACCAGCGCAACACACACTAACACACCACCACCACGTCAGTGTTACTGTAGTGCTGAGAATGATCCACCACCCAAATAGTACCTGCTCTGTGAGGGTCCACGGGGGTCCTGACCACTGAAGAACAGGGTAAAAGGGGGCTAACAAAGTATGCAGAGAAACAGATGGACTACAGTCTGTAACTGTAGAACTACAAAGTGCACCTATATAGTAAGTGGAGCTGATAAAATGGACAATGAGCGTAGAAACAAGGAGGTGGTCATAATGTTATGCCTGATCGGTGTATAAAGTAACTGTGCATTAGCTTTTGCAGAAAAAAAGTTATTTGTTAAAATAGTTTGCTGCAGAGATTCTTTAATTTTTTGACAAAATATGTACAAATATGTACAAAATGTCATCAACACAATATGAAATTTGGCTAGGAGGGCCCTAAACGTTTGCACACAACTGTAGTATAAATCATAGTGCTAACATATCTACTGAATGCTGAGAAATAAAAGTTAGAAAGTCAGAAATAAAACAGGATAAAATCAACTCAAAACAAAACACGTTGAATGTCAGTTGTAACACATCCCCAAGTGTTGCCTTTGATAGCAATAAAGACATCAGTGAGTCTCGTTATTAATTCATTGCATTGGTGTTACAGGAGAAACGAATGAACAAGGCAACAGAAGTGATGCTGCAGTACGTGGAGAACCTAAAGAGGACATATGAGAAGGACCATGCAGAGCTGATGGAGTTTAAGAAACTAGCCAATCAGAACTCCAACCGCTGTTATGGTGGCTCCTTGGAAAGTGGAGGTGAGTGTTACAGTCGAAAAGTAAAATGTTCAAAAACTGAAAAGCAATTTCTGGTAACTGGTACTTCTACCTGTTTTATGAAAGCACACACTTCCATTGGTTGTTTTTTTTTGTCAGTTCAATGGAAAACCATGGACCGTATTACAGAAACTTCTAAATTCTGAAATCTTATCTGCTCAGTCACCATGACAACTTCAGTTAGGACTGAATTTAGGACAGAAGCTATTACAGTTCATAATCTTATCCTAACTCATAAGCATACAGGATTACACAAACATCCTAACTAGACAGAATTTCCTAAAGTCTGTCCCAACTTTCAGATAAACCCCAGAGTGTCCTAACTTCTTTTTTAACCACGTTTCTATTGTTTTATGCAGAGACAGACAGCAAAATTCACTGTAACTAACATAATGATGTTATATTTATCTACACTGAAAACGGTGCTGTGATTTAGGAGGGTTTTTTTTCTAACAGCGTTTTAAACATGTCTGACATTGCAGAGACAATCTCCACCATCTCCTCGTATTACCTTATTAACCTCTTAATGTTAATAAAAACTTGTCAGATAAAATATTACAGTGATGGTGGAGACAGAGCTGAATGCATTGTTGTTTTTCAGTAGGAATAATGTTAGCGCGGTTTGGGAAACTGAAACTGAAACTGGGGAGCGGCTATGCTCTGATGAACAGCACTAAGCGCTGACACAATCTTCTTAAAGTATTTCAGGCTTGAGTTTTGTTTGACCTTTTCTACATCAGTTACCACCACCCAAATAGTACCTGCTCTGTGAGGGTCCATGGGGGTCCTGACCACTGAAGAACAGGGTAAAAGGGGGCTAACAAAGTATGCAGAGGAACAGATGGACTACAGTCTGTAACTGTAGAACTACAAAGTGCACCTATATAGTAAGTGGAGCTGATAAAATGGACAGTGAGTTTAGAAACAAGGAGGTGGTCATAATGTTATGCCTGATCGGTCTATAACATGCTTGAATGCTTCCTGTTTTGTGGCACATTCTGAAAGCTACATGTTTTTATGCGTCTTTTATCTAGATGATGGAGTTCCACGTGCGTCGAGATCCATGTCTCTGACAATGGGAAAGGTATTGTGCCTTTGGTAGATGGTTCTTGTTTAAGTAAATGAAAGGTTGGAGAAATATTACATGGTTTGATTGTAATAAAGAAACAGTTTGTGTTTTGCCCCTCTAGGCGTTACCTAGAAGACGAGTCAGTGTGGCTGTGGTTCCGAAGTTCAATCTCCTGGTCCCTGGTCAGACCCCAACTACAACAGGCACTAGCCTTGGCCCTGGCCCCATCACTGGCCCGGGTGCACTTCCTGTACTGGTAGGCTCTCTTTCGACTGGCTCTTCCCATCTGTCACAACACTGTAGCCTTTGTGTCTACGTGTGTCAGGTGATTGATGATGCTTTATCAAAGTTGCTCTCACATGAGTAACTTCTAACGTCAGCACATCAATTAGAACCACTCGTCATTTGTCAAGATGCTGCAGTTTAAGCTGATTTTGTGGTGCCAAGGTTTGTGATTTTGTTCGTGTTTCTTATTTCGGTAACACTTTACTGTAGGGTGCTGTTCATAAGGCTACATGACACCTACATAAGCTTGTCATTACAACTGACATAACCCTACATAACTGTTTATAAATGCTTATTATAACAGGCGTCATCTGTCATAAAGGTTACTTTAGCTGACTTTGATCAAAATTGGCAAATGTAACCTTTATAGCAAATGACGATTATTGGAGCAAGCATTTATAAACAGTTATGTAGGGCTATGTCAGTTGTCATGACAACCTTATGTAGGTGTCATGTTGCCTTATGAACAGCACCCTACAGTAAAGTGTTACCCTTATTTCTCTATTTAGTGTGAGACAAACAGTGTGAAGAGCGATGCCGCTTCAGAACCAGCACAACAAGCTGCAGGAGAGTGAGTAAACAAATGAACTCTATATACTGTTGCTTTCATATCAAAATCTTGTAACTTGTCATTTTTGGTCCCTTTCACTTTTACCCCATTTGGACCAATAGAAATGTTTCAAAATTAAAGATTCTGTTACATTAAAGTATGTTAAAGTGAAGAACTTTATTTCTTTTCTCCTGAGAAATATCCAGTACCAGTGCAAAAAAGCACACCCTCGAATGTCCAGCTCTGCAAAAATGTTCAAGACCAAGGTCATTTACTGTTGTTTCAAAACAATGTGATGGCTGCAGTCTCGGACACTATGTACATGGAGTTCCTTTATCAAGATATCTTGCTGCGCTGCAGGATATTTTGTTTGTTTGTCTGGCCTTCAGGAAGCCTATCTGAAGGAGTGGGTCAGTAAATGATTTAGAACAGGAAGCGTGGGCCTTATAAAGGACTGCAAATTATGCAACTCCCCCCAAAAATTTTTTAGCAGGTTCAAAATAGTACCAGAGCATTCCGCGAAAGCCCCAGCTGCAGCTGGTTTTACATGCTATTCTGAGATTTAATCTAAACATTTGGGCTGGAGCGTTTGACAAAGTCCAGGCTTCGGGCCTGGCGCCCACTCTTGTTAATAAGGTGAGACTAAAAGGCCCCTTATGCCATGTACATCCATGCCAAAGGCCTTAGCTATGAAAGAGAATAACAACTACTTTGAAGTGCGTGTCTTTTAAAGCAAGGGACATTTTTAACACTCCCTGTGTACAGCTTATGACTTCAACATTGTTTTTTGGACATTTAGCCTCCCAAGTGTGTGCCACTTTAACCCGTGTCCCAGCTGCTTCATTAAAGTGAGGGCCAAAGGGTTTAGTGTCATTTTGCGCAACGGTCTGCGTAATGGCTTATGTTTATAGCTCCAATGCTAACTCCTCTTTACTCTTCCAAAACAATGCAGTGGAAAAGTTCCGAGCGAGCAGGAAGGTGAGGCAGCCGCACCGCTCAAAGTTTCCTGCAGCCTGGAGGAGATCAGAGCGGAGATCAAGGCCAAGATCGAGGAGGAAGCCTACAAAAAAGGGTAACACCTATAAGGTTGATTCCACCCAAATACACACATGAATATGAATCTTGGCAAGATGCATCCATCACAGTCTGACAGTCCAACCACTGCAGCTCAAAATAACTGGCTAATACTGGCAAATCTACATTAATGTAGAATGATAAATGTAGTTCCACAAATGTAACCACACACACCCATCAGGCATAACATTATGTTTCTACACTCATTGTCCATTTTATCAGCACCACTTACTACATAGGTGCACTTTGTAGTTCTACAGTTACAGACTGTAGTCCATCTGTTTCTCTGCATACTTTGTTAGCCCTCCTTTACCCTGTTCTTCAGTGGTCAGGACCCCCATGGACCCTCACAGAGAAAGTACTATTTGGGTGGTGGATCATTCTCAGCACTGCAGTAACACTGACGTGGTGGTGGTGTGTTAGTGTGTGTTGCGCTGGTCTGAGTGGATCAGACACAGCAGTGCTGCTGGAGTTTTAAACACCTCAGTGTCACTGCTGGACTGAGAATAGTCCACCAACCAAAAATATCCAGCCAACAGTGTCCTGTGGGCAGTGTCCTGTGACCACTGATGAAGGACTAGAGGATGACCAACACAAACTGTGCAGCAGCAGATGAGCTATCGTCTCTGACTTTACATCTACAAGGTGGACTGACAAGGTAGGAGTGTCTAATAGAGTGGACAGTGAGTGGACACAGTGTTTAAAAAGTCCAGCAGCACTGATGTGTCGGATCCACTCAGACCAGCACTACACACACTATCACACCACCACCACCACGTCAGTGTTACTGCAGTGCAAATAGTACCTGCTCTGTGAGGGTCCATGGGGTCCTGACCACTGAAGAACAGGGTAAAAGGGGGCTAACAAAGTATGCAGCCCTTATTGGCTGCCTACCAGCAAGCCTGGTACACCCTCACACAACACACAGTAACTACTGGAGGCCGGGAAGAGTTTGTTTAGTTTGGTAGCCAAGTGAAGACGCTGGCCTGACTTTCAGGATTGGACTCTAACTGATACAGCAAAACCGACGCCATTGGAAAAATAGGCACACCAGTGTTTACAGCTACTCAGGAGAGAAGGGTCTGTCTGCAGACTGCAACACAGGGGCAGAACATATAGGGGCCTAACCGCTCTGACAGTTGACTAATCGGAACAGAGAGGGCGAGCTGACCAACCAGAGTACACTAGGCTCATCAGGAGTGGGCGCTTAAAGACACAGGAGCGTTTCAGACAGAGGGTGAATAGAGATGTACAGTATGAGAAAAATAATGTGTTCTGGAACATTGAAGCATGTAAATCTATTCTATTAAACCCAAAAAATATAATTATGAACACTAAAAACAAGCATAATACTTCCCCTTTAAATGACTGAATCCAGTAATTAGAAGGGGTGCCTGGATACTGTTGGACGTATATTGGAACAGTCCTCACAATCACATATTACAGCATTCCTGATGTGTATATGTATTTATATCTACAGGTATCAGGAAGGACTGAAAAAGCTTAAGGAGCTTCAGGAGGTCAAGGAGGAGGAAGAGAAGGCAGAAGAGAAGCTGATGGAGGCTGAAGAGATAACTGGAGATGAGTTGGAAAAAGAAAAGAAGCCAAACAGGTAATTATGCCTTATTATCCTATTCTTTAAGGCCAGTTTTTTCCCAAGTCAGTTCTTACGAATCCCACAGATGATCTGTGGCTCTGCTGTCTGTACCAGGTTCCAGCACACCTGAGCCAAGCAACGAAGAACCGAAAAACTGGTTCAGGTGTGCTGGGAGCTGCTAGAGAGCAAGAGTGCGGACTGTCTGTATGTCCCTCAAGACTGGGTTGGGAAACACTGTATAAGACAACATTAAAATGGCAAATGGATATTGATGATCTGTGTCGACCATTTTCAACATCACATTTTATCGTTACAGTAGGTATGAGGAAGCACTGGAAGTCCTTGACCGGATTTGTCCGAAGATCTTCAAACGGAATAGGACTCTGTGGATTGTTCTTACCTTATTCTTAGTTTTATTCTTTGTGGTCAATCTCGTACATTTCTTCAGCAACCACTACAGTGTCCAAGGGGACACGTCGGCAGAGAAGTCCGCCGTTCCAGGCAAGAAGAAGTTTTTAGGACTGCACGTAGGATCTAAGAATCCCACTCCAGAGTAACACCGAGTCTACACACCTCCACGTTTCAAAGACAGTCTGAGGAGTTCGTTGAACTTTGGAACTGAACTTGGGGATCTATGAATCACGAATAATTCAGTCTAGAGCTGTTTTAGGGAAGCGTTCGAAGTCAAAAGGGTAACATGGCAAAATCACCTACTTTTCTTTAGGGACCAAGTGGGCTTGTAACGTACCATCATTTGAGTATAGATTTATTAGGTGTTCTACTTCACCTAGAGAGAATAATGTGGTTTTATCTTTGGCTACCAGCATTTCCTAAAGCTAATGTACCATTTGAAAGATACACATTATATTACCACTCAAACTTTACTATTGTACTTCTCAGGTTTTATGAGATGAAATAAGAAATATAGTATATATTTAAAAGAGCTTTAATCTTTGGTATGGGTTTTAAAATCTTTGCTAATGTCTACATGGTCTATTTGATTTGACATTCCAAGGTAGCTGCTGAAGTGCAATATTTTTGCAACACATATTTGCCATTTTGATTTGATTGTGTTGAATTGTGTCCTTGCAGCACAATGGTGTGAACAATTTTTTCCAGAAATTTTAGAGAGCACTTTGAATTAGCATGAGAGATTTCTGTCATCCTTTTAGATATTTGCACACGTGTGTTAATGGTTGTGCCACTCCACCTTTTAATAAAGGTGTCTTTAAAAACACGCTCAGTAATTTGAAGATTCAAATGAAATTCACAGCCCTTCATATTTTCCAGAAGATCACACACATTATACAACAGTTAGTTCCGGCCACGCAAGCTGATTGGTTGAGAAGCGCTCTAACCGTGCTGTTATTTCGCCATAACATCACAGGTTTTTTCACAAACACTGTATCACTCCGCTGAGACGCTGTTGCTAAGCAACGACTTTGACAGCTGTAGGAGACGCTCAGGACATTTGAACGTTTTCACTTGTTACTTTGCCACAAACAGAAAATGGACACTTTTAAGATCACATTTGACCGACAGCCGATTTGGTCAGACTCTGAAGATGAGACTACACTAAATTCCCAAACGGTCAGTTGGTCCGTGTGGAGCTGGAGAACGAACTGCCGGCTGTGCAGCGAGTGGGCGGAGCTCGTTACTCTGACGTAGCAACAAGCTGCTTGTTAAGGAACTATAATTTGGCGGAAGGAACTGCGAACATTAAAACATATTAAACGCCACGTTCACGGCCCAGTTTATTAATTTATTACTTTATTTATTTAACTGTTGTGTAAAAGCGATAGAACACTCGAGGCCATGTGTTATCGCGAATAACATCACGGCTGTGATGATCTACAGCAACCAAATCGCGATAACACACTCCCTCTCGTCTTCTATTGCTTAAGTATTGTAATGCATTAACCACTGCATTCTTATTAGACTACAACGGCTGTGGCAAACATTCACCAACTATTCCTTTTTTTAAAAACACATAACCTGTACTTCCACTTTATGAGGTCCACCTACCTTATAGCTCCACTATATAGGTGTATATAACAGACCGTAGCCCATCTGTTGTCTTGCGCAGTTTGATGTCCACCCTCTACCTAATTTATCATTGGTCAGTTTATGCACAGGTATTATATGGGTGATGGATCATTCTTAATATAGCAGTCACACTGACATGGGCTACAGTCTGTAACTGTACATGTACAAGAAGAACCTACAGAGGAGAAACTTTAATAAAGTTAACAGTATTTAACTGTGATAATCTAGAGATGAACTGATAAACTAAAGGAAAAATCCTAATAAATGAACAGTGAATGAATGGAGTGCAGATGTTTGCAGACAGGTGTACTGCATAATACAATTAATATTCTACCATGCTCTGTGGCATATATAGATAAACTGACCAGGTCCAGTTAACTTCAAATTTGGTTAAAGACGGCAAGAGGACAAGTGACTTTGAGAGCGAGTTCATTAATGGTGTTGCTGAAGCAGCAGCTTTATTAATAAGGGCTGCTCAACAGACTAGTGTTTCAATAGGAACATTGATTAAAGTCACATCTGCATTTAGAACTGTGGGGAAAACATCAGTAAACATGGTTGTGGCCTAAAGCACATATTCAATGTCTGATGTTCGTGCTTTACTGGAATATGGAAAAACAGAAGAGCAACTGTTCCTCAGGTGACTGAGAATGTCAATGCAGGACGTGCTCAGACTGCGAGAACAGTTTATCTGCATCTACACAAATGTGGGTATTATAGTAGGGTTCAGTGCATAAACCACTCATTACAAAGACAAACGCACATTTGAGAGTTCAGTGGTAAAAACTAGGGGTGGGAATCACCAAAGGCTGCACGATACGATGTTATCACGATACTTAATTCACAATACAATATTATTGTGATGTATTATGATTTATTATTATTTATTCTCTAAGATTTATTATTTTTTTATTATCTTTTTTTATCACCAGTCTCCTGTGAGATAATGCACTATTATAGTCACATAGGAATCCACTGCCCTCGACGTTCAAGCATCACAAGTTACGCTTGGGTACGACTGTGTTGGTGAAAAAAACATTCCAGTGTCTTTGCTGTTGATTTTTTCTACGTTATAAGAACGCAGGTCTTTGCACTTGACGTACGTCATGAACTGTGTTATTTTCTTAGCTTGTTCGGAATTTAAAAGGTAGCTTTGTCAAGCTAAGTGTGTCCAGTGTTCTCTGGTTTTTCAGTGGAGCTGATTTAATGTTGCCTTTGCTTATTCGCCAGCTTCTTGTTCAGCCTTTCCCCTTCTAAATGGGGCAGCAGTTATTTTCTGGCACTTCAAGCGTGAGAATGTAACTGCTGCATCGTTTAAGGTGGAACAGGAAAATGTAAAAAGGAAGCTGATGAATAGGAAGCCAACTTCAGCCTCATTTGCCATCATCGGTTAACTCTATCTTGTGAGGTGAGCCCTCGTGTTCAGAGTATTCCCAGAGTATTTTACTTTTTATTTGCTGCCGTGGTTTGAATCCACTTGTCCTCTTAGAGGGAGCACTGACTGCTCATCTTCAGAAATGAAACATTTCTATCCTGATGAGAGTGTGAGAGTTTAATGAGTATGAACATGAAGTAAATCATAAGCTTTGGCCTTCATAGACACCAGGGACCATATTACAGAAACTTCCTATCTTTACGTCTTAAGATCTGACAGGTCAAGATAAGATTTTTCACAAATTCATATTACAGAAGCAAATCTGATCTTAATTTAGGAATCTTATCTTACAGCATCTTATCACTTATCTCGTTTGATCGAAGTCCACAATCAACTGTTGTGTCTGTTACCTAGCAACTGACCACACGCACACAGCTGAAACATAAACATGTGATCAAGCTAACGTTACTGGTGTAAGAAAGTTAAATAAAACTAAAGCGTGATAAACTGAAAGTTATAAATATTGTGAGCGCCCCCTGCTGTTTATCAAAGTCGCTGCTCCCCAGTTTCAGTCTCCATTTCCCAAACGCTTCAGTCGAGCGCGCTAACGTTATTCCTCCTAATAAACAGACACACGTTCAGCTCCGTCTCCTCATTATTCACCACCTTCACTGTAATATTTTATCATCAACATTACCACACGAAGGTAATCAGAGGGACGGTGGAGATCGAGTCTGCAGCGTCTGAGATTTTAAACGCTGTTAGAAAAGAAAACAGCACAGTTTTCAGTGTAGATAAATGTAGCGTCATTATTCTACTTATAGTGAACTGTGCTGCCAGAAGTTAAGACAGATCTGGGGTTGGCTTAAAATTAGGACAGAATTTAGGAATTTTGTCTAGCTAGGATGTTTCTGTAATACTGTTTTCTTATCGCCTTCCACCCAGTGACTGCTGGGATAGGCTCCAGCTCCCCCCGCGACCCAGAAGGATAAGCGGCCCTAGAAGATGTGTGTGTGTTTTCTTATTTGGAGTTAATGATAAGATTATAAACTTAAGAACTGTTGTTCTGTTATAGCTACTGTCCTAAATTCTGACAGACTGTGGACCACCATCATCAAAACACAAAAAGTGGGGAATATCTGTTGGGTGAATGGCGTTCCAGTATAGTTCTAGATACTTGTAGAATCTACGCCAAGCTGTTCTGGTGGCTCGTGGTGGCCGAGCATGTTACGATGACACTTTACATTGTTTTTTTTTTTCTTTCCGTCTGAACTTATTTTGCCATTGAGTTTCTGTATTAGGCAGCAGTTTGTGCCGCACATGGACTTTCGCCATGAGGTCATATTTTGCAAGCATCAGCAGGGGGTAAAACTGCACAATCCATTCTGATATGAGAGCTGCTGAGTCGCTGATGTTGGCAGAGAAGTAACTGGCTCATTTTTCCTGTGCTCCTGCGTCATTTCCCCCTAACAGCGAAATGATGCAGTGTGTGTGTGTGTGTATGAATGTGTGTGGAGTGAAGATGTTTTGCTGGAAGTGGGACAGAGCTGTGTGTCAGTGAAAGATCACAGGAAGTGAGAGGAACATTTGTTCGTTAATGACAGCAATGGAGAACAGGAAATAATTGTTCAAGTATGGTACCAAAGCTAAACAAACAAAATCTCTGCGCATCAACTGTCTCCCATCAGACTTCATTTGCTTTGGGAAACAGCTTCAAAGACACTTTGTTTACAGTCACTGCTAGAGAGTCAGAGGCTCTTTATCACCACTTTTTCCCACAAGGTTCTTATAATGTCACCAAGATATACAACCTCATTTCCAAAAAAGTTGGGACGCTGTGCAAAATGTAAATAAAAACAAAATCCAATGATGTGCAAATCATTTAAACCCTATATTTCTATGAAAATAGTACAAAGACAACAAATCAAATGTTGAAACTGAGAAATTTTATTGTTTTTTGAAAAATAATTGCCCATTTTGAATTTGATGCCGACAACACGTTCCAAAAAATTGGGACAGGGGCAACAATAGGCTAGTAAAGGTGTGTTATGCTAAAAAAACACCTGGTGGTTAATTGGCAACAGGTCACTAAGATGATTGGGTATAAAAAGTCTTTCAGAAGTAAAGATGAGGAGGGGTTCACCACTCTGTGAAAGACTATGTGGGCTTATAGAGCAACAATTCAAGAATAACGTTTATCAACATAAAACAACAAAGAACTTTTGCTTTTCATCATCTACGGTACATAATAACATTAAAAGATACAGAGAATCTGGAGAAATCTCTGTATGCAAGGGACAAGGTCAAAAACCAGTATATGCTGGCCGTGATCTTTGGGCCATCAGACGGCACTGCATTAAAAACAGTTTGTCGCTACATCCACAAATGCAAGTTAAAACTCTAAAACAAAAAGAAGAAACCATACGCATGGGTGACATGCTTATCTGTGAAGGCACCATTAATGCTGAACGATATATACATGTATTGACAACATATGCTGCCATCCAGACGACGTCTTTTTCAGGGAAGGCCTTGATTATTTCAGCAAGACAAGGTCAAACCACATTCTGCGTGTATTACAGCAGCATTGCTCCATATTAAAAGAGTCCAGGTGCTAAACTGACCTGCCTGCAGTCCAGATCTGTCTCCACTGATAACATTTGCTGCATTATGAAATGAAAAATATGACAAATGAGCCCCCAAACTGTTGAACAGCTGAAATCCTATATCAAACAAGAACAGGTAAACATTTCACTTTCAAAACTACAGCAGTGTCTCCTCAGTTCCCAAACGCTTACAGAGTGTTGATAAAAGAAGAGGTGATGAAACACAGTGGTAAACACCCCCCCGTCCCAACTTTTTTGGAACGTGTTGTTGGCATTAAATTCAAAATGGGCAAATATTTTTTAAAAAACAATAAAATTTCTCAGTTTCAACATTTGATATGTTGTCTTTGTAGTATTTTCCTTCAAAAATATGGTTTACTTGATTTGCAGCTTCCCAACTTTTTTGGAAATGGGGTTGTACATTTAGGCTAGCCGTTTTTTATTAATTCATAAATAGTATATGAAAATCACCTAATTTCCTGTATAATAATCTGCTTTAGGTTATCTGCCTTAACAATGTATCACCGCTTCAAATATGAGGCATTCCTGTTGTTGATTTTATCAGGACTCACCATTTACAGTTTCCTAAATTTGATATTATCCTACAAATACTTTAAACCCTATTAAGTTGTAGGATAGTAGCAACATATTAGAATAATGTTTTGCGTGTATTTGCATTAAAACTAGTATTATAATACAGAAAACATATGACTGGTACTGTATAACAGTGTGACAATAAAAACGGCATTAGATCATTTTCACCCAGAATGAAGTTTAGCTGAGATGATGGTTTTTGTCATCCGTTATCGGCATTCATTATCATCAAGCCATCTCTCCTCGGCTTGGCCCGGGCTCCTAAAGCCCACGTTCCCCCTTCTGACCTCATCAGAGATGCCAGCGCACCTCCTGTTTCCTCTTCCCCAGTGCCGTGGCCTTGTGATGACACTTCACACGGGGCATTTATGAAATAACCGCCCCCTTCACTCACCCTCCCTGCATCCCTGGGGGCGGATAGCCTCTCTATAACCTCCTCTCTTGGCACTCGGACACGCACATCATTTCATCTCGGAGAACTCGGAGTGAAGCGACTCCTCCATCATGGCCAAAGTCAAGATGCTGGCGCTACTCTTGGCGAGCTTCATCTCATCCGCTGTGCTTATTGATATCAGCAAGATCACAGGTAAGAGCGCTCCATTCATGGCTCCACCAGCCATATCTGTATCAGTTTGATATCTTGGTATAATATTGGTACAAATACTGATATCAGTTCAAATCAAATTCTAATGGTGCCATTAATAAGTATTTGAGTATTAACTATGAGTTGTAATCTGTTTCTGATTCCAGTAGCTGAATACTGATTGTCAGTTGATATTTGGTTTTTATGGTGCTTTTCATATCACTATTGTAATTTTAAATCACTGCTGTCGGAAGAAAACCTCAAATCTCCATTTTGTCATTTTTCAGTTTTAGACAAAATTTAAAAAAGCCTGCTGGTCTTTATATTGTGTGTAAATTTCATGACGAATGGACCAAAAGAAACGGCCCTAAAATGACTTGGTAAAAAGTCTGGTTCCATTGACTTACATTAAAAGTAGGTTTTTTCCTTCTCCTGTGAAGTTATCATTCTGGAGAAATGAGGTTTTGTTCCAACAATGGCGAAATACATGTTGAAATTTGGTTCTTATGGTGCCTTGTGTAAAGAAGTCCAAGATTATTACTTTGCTGTAATGAAATGCTTGTATGTACAGTCCACAATTACCCAATATTCATAACTGAGGCTTTTTTTTTTGCATATTTCTTGAGCCATCTGATCCATATACCATTTTTGATAGTATGAAAGTTTAAGCCATTTAACACTAACTCTGCATCCACTTTCTATCCCTCTGATAATAAACAGTGTTCCCCAAACACGGCAGCATCTCGGGAGTATTCCATGCATCACTCCCAGGCAGCTATGCCTTCAACGCATCTACAGCCAGAGATGTGTGTGAACAGCTGGGTGTGACGATAGCAGATAAGGCGCAGGTGCTCCGTGCTTCTACACATGGCTTCGAAACATGCAGGTACAGCCAGAAAAGACTGACTGCTTCTGGATTACAAGCTATGTTGTGTGAAATGGATCTCCGGTAATTTTTTTGTTTGTTTGTTTTTCAGGTTTGGATGGATAGATGAACAAATTGCTGTTGTTCCAAGGATTCAAGCCAATGAAGTGTGTGGTAAAGGAAAAGTTGGGGTCATCCCATGGCGGGCTGGTCTCAGTACAAAGTTTGATGTCTTCTGTTTCAATTCAACAGGTAGGACACAAATCACAGCACAGGTTGAAGACTTCATTTTGACCAAAAGAATTCACTTATACAGGGTGTCCCAAAAAACCTGACATCATTTGAGATGTGAATGTCTGAGTAACTACATGTCGTAGGCAAACGTAATTAAATAGGCTTCATGTTGAACAATACAAGATGTCAAAATTAAGAAATTCAGAGGGATGTAGATTTTATAACTGATTTCACAGCTTCACAAATGTAATATCCTCCGATACTGGTGGTCGTCCAGATCCCTTTGCGCTGCACAGACAGCCTTCCTCTTTGAGTTTTTTGTGCCGTGTCCAAATCTGCTTTCCAGTTGGTGCATTTTTATTGAATTTTCTCGAAAATGCACTCTGCACACTCCTGTTTGACCGTGTTCGAGCACATTCTAACACACAAAATGCCTTTTCATTTCTAGTGAACGCCATTCTTCAACCTGAAAAAAAACATTAAAAATTAATCTTGGTTATTTTATAAAAATTTTGTTAAAATTTGAGATCATTTGAGATAATTGGCTGTTATTAGACTACGAAATGATGTCAATTTTTTTGGGACACCCTGTATATCTTGTCTCATAAATCTTGGAAGTGTGACTGGTTAAGATGGTTGCAGCGAACAGTAATGAAATGCCATGATTGCGAAACTGATACCACAGAAGACCGGAATATGCAAATTAGCCCTCTATTCAAAGGCCAATATTGTAATAACAATAAACGAATGATACTCTGTGCATCACTTACACAGACTACAGTTTCCTTAGCAGCTGTTAGCTTTTTTCTTCTTTCCAACTTTTGTCTTGCTAATTGCTTTGCCAAACCTGCCAATCTTGTGTCTCTCTTGGCAACAAAACAGCACAGGGTGTAGTGCAGTGCTGGAGGAAATGGGAAATTCTGAGTATGTAATTGTCCCTTTACCGACTTCCTCTGAAGTGCTTGGACATAATGACACGGAAGGAAATAAGTGGGATGTAATGGCAACTGACCAATGTTACCAAACTTCAGAACTGTTGAGAGATCAGTTGTAATGGGTTGCCAAGTGTCTTACGTAACATCAATCTACTTATTCAACCTGCAGATTTTGAAGCTCAAGCTCAAGCAGCCACAACACAAGTCCATAAGACCACAAGTGGGACACCTACACCACACATGTCTACAGGTGGAGTTCGTCTACAACGGGCAAAAACTACCCACTCTGCTTCATCCGCCTCTTCGTCTGATGTCCAGTCCACCTTTCCTGGGTCCTCTCGCTCTCTGATCTACCAAGAGGACGAGGAAAAAGCCCAGGCCTTAGGTGGCACAAAGCCCAACATTGGAGGTCGGTATCTTATATTATTATGATCCAATCTGACCCATTATTTTGTGTAATACATAAAAAAAATACATGCCATTTGTTCAAATCTCTTACCTGCCCATCTCATTTCTCAGTCGTCCCAACCGCTTTGCTCATCACAACCATCTTCACGTTCCTACTGGCTGCCATGGTTGCTGTTTGGTACTTCAAAATGTAAGTGATGGTCTTGTGATCAGACATAACTGTTGTGAGAATAAATAAACAGTCAGAATGATAATTTAGCTACGGTCGAATATCAGTGCTCAATTCAGATTTTTTGCCCAGATACAGTATTTCTGTCTAAATTTGTGTTAATAAGTGTGAACAGATCAGAACTCTAAAATAATCTGCATCTGTACAGTGCTGTCCCTGACTAACTTGCCCAAATCTCAAGCAAATCAGATTTCACTCCCCCTCCACTGACTAGAGCCACAATTGCTGTCCTCCATAGTTTGTAGCCACTGCTGACACACTGTAGACTCTGGATGATGGAAAAAAGTAGGAATTTCCATCTGACTGTTCTCTGACTGCATTTATACCCACTCTAGAACCACATATGAAATCAGGTTATTTGTGATTTGGAAAAAAAAATTTGTTCACACAGCTCAGAAAAAAAACACCACATGTAGGTAAAAAAAAGATTCAGTCCACTTAAACACTGTAACGTGAACAAAGACTATGATTATTCAATATGAACAGTTGTTGACATGGGAGCAGTCATGGGCTGGGGGCAGTTGTGGGCTGGGGGCAGTCGTGGGCTGGGGGTTAGGGAACCAGCCTTGTGACCAGAAGGTTACTGGTTCGATCCCCTGAGCCGACAGTATGTGACTGAAGTCCCCAGGCACCATGGATAGGCCTGCCCACCACTCTGGGCAAGTGTGCTCACTGCCCCCTAGCGTGTGTGTGTTCACTAGTGTGTATGTGGTGTTTCACTGCATGGATGGGTTAAAATGGGGAGGTGAAATTTCCAATATCACTGTTTATATGTGTGGTCCTGTCCATTAAACTCAATAAAATGTCCTGAAAAACTGCTTTGAGGCATCCTACAATTCCCTGAATGTACACTGTGGCATCACTGGATACTTAAGTCTAATAAACTGACCTTTTTTCTGCTCTAGGAACAGGTCCTGCACAGGCCTGTGGGATGGGAAGGAGCAGAAGGAGTGCATAGAGACCGAGGTCTGGGACGAATGCAGCACAAAAGGTGTGAAAGAGTCCCGAACTGAGCCGGAAAACAACCCTGAGGACGCAGATGATGTCAGTGTGACCATGAACGATGAGACTGATAGCGAAAATGAGAGCAAAAGCAGAGCGACTTCATAACCAGCCACTACAGACCACCACTCTGAGAAACTGCTTGTATGGCCACTTTAAAATAGCATGATGCAAATGTATTTATTTATTCGACGTTTCTTATGTAGTTTTTGTCTGTGATATATTTTACAATGTTTATAAATCTGATTAAACTTTTTTTAACAGAATGTATTGCTTTTTTTAATAAAGCTGCCTTTCACTGGCTAATACTGGAGGTGTGCCACTTGGTGAAAGATCTGAACGATTTAAGTTTCTGAAATGATCATACAGTGCAGTGGGAAAAAGTATTTGCCCTCTTCTCAATTTCTTCTACTTTTTGCATATTTTGCACATTTGAATGTTTCAGATCATCAAACTACATTTAATATTAGACAAAGATAATCCAAGTAAAATTGACTTAATTTATTGAAGGAAAAATGTTCATCTCTACCTTGCCTCGTATGAAAAAATAACTGCCCACTTAGCTACTAAATCAACCAGTTAACCAAACTCCATTGTCTACTGGGGTCAATTTCACTAGCCACAGTCAGACGTGATCACTGCCTGACCTGTTGAATCTAACCATCACTTAAATAGAGCCTGTCTGGCAGTATGAATCAGGCTAGAAGGTCTTAAAAAGCAGCATATGATGCCACGTTCTACAGAGATTCAAATACAGATGCAGAACAAAGTCATTGAAATCTACCAGTCTGGAAAAAGTGGCAAAGTCATTGTTTAGGCTCTGTGACTCCATTGATCCACAGTGAGAGCCGTTATCCACATATGGAGAAAACTTGGAACAGTGGTGAACCTTCCCAGGAGCAGCCAGCCTATCAAAATTTAACCAAAAGCGCAATGACGACAAAAGAACCCAGACGAACACCTACAGAAATGCCGGCCTCAGTAACGGTCAGTGTACACAATTCCGCAATAAGAAAGACGTTGGGCAAAAATGGAATCCATGGGAGAGCCGCAAGGCACCAATCACTGCTGACCAAAAAGACAACAAAGGCTCATCTTGCATTTGCCAAAAAACATCTTTATGACCCCCAAGACTTTTGGGATAATATTCTGTACACTGATGAGTCAAAAGTGCACTGCTGTGTCTGATCAACTTGTACCAGCACAACACACACTAACACACCTCCACCACGTCAGTGTTACTGCAGTGCTGAGAATGATCCACCACCCAAATAGTACCTGCTCTGTGAGGGTCCATGGGGGTCCTGACCACTGAAGAACAGGGTAAAAGGGGGCTAACAAAGTATCAGAGAAACAGATGGACTACAGTCTGTAACTGTAGAACTACAAAGTGCACCTATATAGTAAGTGGAGCTGATAAAATGGACAATGAGTTATGCCTGATCGGTGTATCTATATATATATATATAGACAGATAGATAAATAGATACATAGATAAAATGGACATTAAATTACTTATTACCCCTTTAATCTTTATAGTTTGTCACAATTAACCATCTCATTTAAAAGACTACACTCTCCTACTATCAAAATCTAATAACTTCTCCAGCATCTAAAATGTTTTCTGATTTTTCATTGTGCAGCAACAAAAATAATATCAACCAATAGTATCTATGATGTTTTATCTTCACCACCCTCACCAATCACCACACAGAAATGATTAGCTAGTTCAGAGACCCTCCCTGATGTTTCCCTCTGAAATAATTAATTGAACTATGATTTCTGATGCATAAACATTACGCTTACACAAATGTGTGATATAAATGTGGCTGTAATGATACACTGATAAACTACTACAATTGCTTGTGATGCGCACTCATGTAGAGTGGATGAGCAGCAGGTGATGAACATTATCTGGTTATCTAGATGGACTAACATCCATTTCATTGGTTGTATGTGGGACTGAACTGAACTCAGGATAAAATGGTTCGCTTACAAAAATAATATTCTCCAACTTTGTCATAAGTGTCTTTATAAACCCACAGTCACATATTAACTTTCAGATTCACAAATGAGTTTCCTTTACTAAACTGCATCTGCAGGTCTCTGTTCATAAACATAAACTAGCCAAAACAAATTTACTATAAAATGAAATAGTGTTTGTATAAATTCAGAAAAAAGAAACATCATACCGATTGGTGTTCTTGTTTCACGCTTCTTTCGTTTTTGACGTTACGTTTTTATACACACATCAGCCAATAGGAACGACAGATTTTTCATAATGTAGTTGAGTAAAAAGTGAGATATTTGACTTTGAAATGTAGTGGAGTGAAAGTAAAAAGTCACCCAAAATGGAAATACTTAAGTACAGTAACGAATAACATTGACTTCATTACTGTCCACCACTGCTGCCCATAGAACGTGCCTCCCACTACAACATACTGCGAAGTCGAGGGACACACTTTATCACAAACAGCCAAGACACGTTTACTTATTTAGTTCAGTGCTGGAGTTAAAGAGGCTAACGAACGGCAGATTTCAAAACACTCAAATCTTTCCTTAAATACATCCCCAAAGCGTCTCTTAACGCACTCTAAACGCATTGAGGTCTTCATTACAGTTGCAACGGCTCTTCGATGTTGTTTAGGAGACAGACTTACTGTGAGCTATAAAAATCAACAAAACCTCACTGAGTCATGTTAGCTGAACATTACAGTCAGACAGTTTAGACATGAGAGTGTCCTGTCGACGTTAGCCTTAGCTAGGCTATCAAGAAGAATACTGCTGAAACTGGGCCACGATAAACTGAAAATAGCTGAAGCTGGTTATCAAAATAATTTCCACATTGCGAGTACGGGCATAACAATAACCTCTCTGGATATTCATTTTTAGGAATAATTACACAAGGACGTTTCCTCACCTGTGTAGAGGCTCACATGTCTGCTGGTCTGGATCGGGCTCGTCTGAAGTTTCCATTGGATTTTGAATTTGAAATGACTGCGTGAAGCGCACAAGTGCGGGATTAGGATTCAACCACAAAGGCACATCATCATCAACTCCCACTCCTTTAGACTCTTCCACTTTATTCACTGACCAATGTCTTTTTATAAGTAAGCATTTTACAAATAACAAAATAAGATCCATCCTTCATAGATCTTAAATCTCTGCTCCTGCTTGTATTCGTTGGAATAACAAATTTGGCAACAGAGATTGGAAAGAAGTTTGGTCGCTTAGAAAAAGTTTTCTCCTTTCCAGTAAAATTTCCGAAGTTTCTCTTAAAATTATTCAAAATTGTTTTTTTAGTAAATTATAAACTAGCTAAATTTAATCCTGCTGTTATGTCAGACTGTTACGACAAAACCACTGATCATCTCTTTTGGGAATGTATCTATTGTTAGTAAGTTTTCTGGAATAACGTTTTGAATTTTCTTAGAAAGAACGTTTCTTGTGACTTCAGCCTCATTCAGAAAAGTTTTTTTTTTGGTGTATTCATTGTAGATGAAAAAAACTTCAATGCATTGTTGTACTTAGCAAAATTCTACATACACGAATGTAAATTTTTGAAAAGAAGCCATATATTTTTTGTTCTTAAAAAGGACTTTGAAATGTATATTCACTCCTTAATGCATTCAAAAAACCATTTAGCAATCATCAGTCTAACATTTTACCACTTATAAACTGATATAATGTCCTGTTTTGTAGCTCATGTGGCCTCAGTTGTTATTAAGTTGTCAGTCCCTTTGTATGTCCATTATATGTTGTTCAATAAAGCAATAAAAAAAAATAATAATTCAACCACACAGAGTTGTTCAGTTGCTGAAATTTTGAAGTTGACTTCAACACAGATTCAGATTCCAAGTGAAGGAAGTAAAATCTACAAAGTAATTTTCTCAATTCCAAATGTCAAGGGGCAATATAAAGTAGAGGTGGGCGATATGGCACAATGTAATATGACGATCCTTAAGGACAGTTTTCACGATACGTCACAGTTTTATATTTTTCTGACATCTGATAAGATGGAACACACAAAATATTACCAAATTTTAGAAATACTATCAAAAAACTATATATCCAATTACTGGTATTCAACATTTTACATTCTGCTACACTTTTTAACCAAACATGCAGTTGGGTGTTAAGTAGTGTTGATATCCACCAAATCGCTGTTGTCGTAAGAAAACCTCGTATCTTCAAAATGGTAACTTTACAGGAGAAGGAAAAGCCTACTTTACTTTTAATGTAAGTCAATGGAACCAGACTTTTTTCCAAGTAATTTTGGGCTGTTTCTTTGTGTTCATTAATCATGAAATTTTGACACACTGTAGACAGCAACAGGCATTTTCAAATTATGTCAACAACTGAAAAATGGAGCTACAAGGTTTTCTTCCAACAGTAATATGCTCAGAAAAGCATATTGTGATGCAATTTATCACAATAATGATAAATATTGCCCAACTCTAATATTAAGTAATTATTAATGATTTATGCCGTGCATGACAAGAGATCTTGACACACCACTTGATGTGCTACCACACCAGCTGTTCTACGAGGACACAAGATGTCAGTTTACATTCGACTTACTAGATTAGCAGGCAGTCTGGGGAGCTAAAGCTACCCGAGTTAACTTACACCAGCTTACACCAAATGACTTTTCACTGTCGCAGACAAATTCCCAGTGTCGGAATAAAATCATGAGAGTCTTGCATCGCGCTCACGTCATCTTGATCGTTTAGTGTAAGGTGGTCAGGACAACCATCTTAAGTCAACGACAAAATCAACCATGTTGAATATTATCGCAAGTTTTAAGTCTTGGCTCATGCAAATAGTGACGTGCCAGGGGTGCGCGTTAGTGCAAGCGAGCGAGCGCATGGGCGCAACGAGAGAGAGCGTAAAGGAGAAAACGCACGCGCGTAAAAAAAGGCAAATCTGCTTTAGTACAATAATCATATTAACTTAAAATGCAAACTGGCTGGTTTTTTTTTTTATATTTCAGGTTCTCTGAAATATAAAACCTGTAACAGGAATGAGGGAAATGTGCAGAATTTTTTTTTTTTTTTGCTTTTTGTCAAATTAAGAAAGTAACTGCACATTTTACAGGTTAATTAAAAAAAATGGGTGATGATCTGCCAGAATACGCAGTTCTACAGTGAACTGGGCTGAGCCCCGGATCTTTACACGCTCAGCCAACGTATCTTCCCATCTGTTCCACTACAGAATGAAAGGAAATCAGCTTGTAAATTTCCACCAGGTGCATGATGGATAATAATCTCAAAAATCTAGTTGCAGTCTTCCCAGTCTTTGCAAAATCATAGTCTGTGACTAAAAACTCTGTGATTGTCTTTAGGTGTGAGAGGGTGTCAGACTTTAGTCTTTCAAAAGTCTTTTCAAATTCTTTTTAATGTCTTCTAGTGTACGGCCACCTGAGTCTAGCTAAACTGTGTCTCAGTCAGCTATGGATGGGCAGATGTTGCAGCACTGGCTTAGCTCATTCAAAAAGGCTGAGGACGTATCCAGTGTCCCGACTGTGAAAGTTCCTGTCTCCGGATAAAAGTATGATGGTATGTTAAAGGAAAACAAACTAGTCGACTCCTCTAGCAGAATAGCAACTTGTCTGAGGTGTTAGATTTCAGATGTTCTTTGTGAGTATTTATCCAACAAGCCCACACTAGTGACCTCTGGCATACGTTTAATTTCGTTTGACTTGAAGAGGATTTCCTTTTTCATCTTCCTTCAGAACAATTTATTAATCACTACAACAATATAAACAAACATTTTCCTTAATGTTTAGGTACAGTTAGAGTATATGCTGTTATATATATCTTTATATACAGTATGTGCAACATTTCTGACCAGTTACTAAATTAAGTGGGATTTAAAGGGCACCAGAGGCAGCAGGCAAGCTTTTAAGGTGTTTGTATGAACATACAGTACATCATGGAGAACTTCTAACAGCAAATAAAACAGAACATATGGTGCTTTCTTTGTTTTTGGTTTGTAACGTCCTACACATTTAACAAATGAGGTTTGTGAGTGATTTCTCTAAGCGCAGCCACCATCCCTGGTCCTGGAGATATACTTTCCTGTTGAATCTACAGTGTGGCCCAATTCAGGGGTTGGATCCTTCGAAGGACGCGGTCTACGAAGGCACGTCTGTTTGTATCACAGCACCGCTGTTCCCGCCCTTACAGGTGCATCACGAAACGCCACTCTTGTCAAGTTCTTTAAAGAGGGAGCCAGAAACTTTGATTTTAGTTGTTTATTTTTCATTTTTTAGAGCTGGATGCTTCACCGCTGGCTACCTCGCCAGCACGCAATGAACCTCCGGATACGTTGGCTGGTGAAGGATGCACCCGTTGGGTCCTTCGTCACCATGAAAAGGACACGTTTCTCGGCCCGCATATGAAGGAGCCTTCGAAATGGGACAGTCTAGTCGCGCCACTGTGACGCTATCAGCCTTCAAATGCAGCCTCCAAAGGACGCAGCCCCTGAATTGGGACACACTGCTAGTTTCAACTACAATCTGACTCACCTGCTCCAGCTAATTTACTTCTTCCGAAGTCCTTGATTGGCTGGATCAGGTGCATCAGTGTTAGGTAAGGGAGGAGCAGAGTGTTAAATGCAGGTTGGAACTAAACTCAGGAATGCAGATCTCCAAGAGAGTATTGGTGACCACTGTTCTAGTGCTTATATCTTAACTCACAGTGGCTGTGGTGTCACTGTAGGATTGAGGTGGACAGTGGAAAGGTACCAGATTTCAGTCAACACGTAGCCCAGCTAGTTTAGGGGGGTCCAGCTCTGATTCTGGAGGGCCTTAATACATCAGTTTGGTGAGGTATCTACTCAAACGCACTTTTCATCTCGCCAGTTATCGGGTTTAGCAGGTGTGGGTGACCAGAACTGGATACCCCTGAGCTAGTCTCATTCAAATAGCTGTGAAAGCTTACATTAAAGGCCACAGTACAATATATAGTCTGCATTCATAATCAAATTTCTCTCACTACTCCTCCAAAGCTCATCTTCTAGAAAACTGATTTCTCCACATTTCCACAAGGGGGAGCTACTCCCCTGTTTTTCTACTGCCTGTTTTCTCCTGAGTCCTGCTTTACCTCCGAGGCTAGGAGGATGTGTTGCTCAGCGCAAAACTCGCATGCAACGGTACACAGACATCCGTGTACCTGCTTTGACATGGAAGACGGTGTCGACTACAGGGTCTTATTTTCCTTAACCTGAGCAGCAATGTCAAGTAATACCAGCACACTGCTGTCCCCGATGCATGCAATCTCGTCTAAATGGCAGCATGCATGTGTCTATGGGGATGTGTAGGTACAGTCTTTTGGGAACATATGCAGCATTGTCACTGTGGTTGTGAACCCAGGACTTCAGACTTCACTGCGTCCACCAAAAAGCTGAGCTCGTTGCACAGTGTCTCATGCCTGTAGGCCATGCGGATCTGCGCCACGTTGGTTCGCCGGATATCGTTCCCCTCAGGCCCGTCCTTCAAATAGTCGGCCCCAAGGAAGTGCTTTTTCTCCTGCAGGAAGAATTATCTGTTAAAAGGCTTCCACAATGACCCATGTGACTGCAAGGCTTTAGTACATTAAAGGGACATTTTGATGAAAAATCTAATTCATACGATTTTTCCCTTACACCACATGCAGATAATCAGCTAAGACATGTTTGGTATTCAAGGTTTGCTTCTTTAGTTTTGCTCTGAAGCTGTGAGGCTAATGTAGAAAATAATGGAAACTTATAACCCACCAATTACGCATGCACAAACTGCATGCATAACTCATCTCACACTGGCCCCAAACTGTGTTTAGTTATTACGTAATCGCAAATAAACTTGCTTGTTTTGGATGTTATATGGCAACACTTATCTACTAAGTTAGTGGTGGAGTATCCATTTGTCCTGTTTCTCTATTTAGTATTTGGAAACTTTGTCTTTTGTACTCCAAAACCTCCTTAATCCTCTACTCCTCTCACTCTATGGCTGGGTGTACGCTACACAAATTTTAAAATCTCAACAGATTTCTAAAACGGAGAGCATCACAAAATAAACGTCAGTTTGTCACATAATGTCTTGTCATTTTGTCATGTGGGTGCTCACACTAGACTAAGGCAGAGAGAGAATAACACACAATCAGTTTGTGCTACGAATAAAAATGTAAACTCCAAGATCTCCTCAAACCACACGACACAAACAAAGCTAAATTTACTGGACCTGTTTGTGCTTTTATGCGTAGTGAAAGTGCAAACTGGGGATTAATATGTGGTGAGAAAAGCTGATATTACAGCGAGAGCTGAAGAAATATTTCACTACAAACTGGCAGCTGAGCTGAAATCGTAAAAAGAGTGACTTGACCTCTGGATCCACATATTATAAACCTGTTATCGGCTCTTATTTGCCTGTGTTTTTACAGAAAGCTCATCTGTCTGTGCTTCGCTGTTCAGGCGGTGTGCATACACATCCCTTCGCCTGTTTCTCTGCTCTTCTAGCTCTCTGATTGGCAGTTTGAATCACTCATTGAGTAAATCTCTGATCTTCTCACACTATAAGACTCATGAAGATTTTAAATACATTTTTTACGTAAATATCAAACATGTTTGATAAGATCGGAGGGCCTCCGATCACTTCAGAGTTCGTTCAGAGGGCTAAAGATTTACTCGTTTCTCCTCTCACACTACCAGATCATCCGCACCACTGTTTGCTTCCGATCAAGCTTATGACCTGGAAAAGATTGTGAAAATTCGGCGCAAGGGGCAAATCAGGCTTAAAAACAGTTTCAAAATCGTGTAGTGTAGGCCCAGCCTCAGCTATGACTGAGCTTAAGTTGGCCTGCATATCGTCCTCAGTATCCAGGTTCATGTTAGGACAAACAAACAAGCATTCAAGGTCTGAAAATGCTGTTTGCGCCAGCCCTATTAATAGAAAATGAAAGTTAAGGGGAAAATTATGTAAACCAGATTTCTGCCAAACTATTACTTAAAGGCTAGACAGGTATTACCTGATGGGACAGGCCGCTCTGCAGCACGCTGTTCCTGGCGATCTCACACAAGTCACATGTGCTGAGCTTCCACAGCTGGGCCGCAATAGCATACTCTTCCATTAGTGCTTCCTATAGAACAAAACATGTCAGACAGCATGTTTGGTCAAGCTTTGTATGTGTTCCTGATGAAATGTTGGATTATATGTAGCTGTTTGATGGGTCATTCTACAGAAACATCCACTTTTCTATCTATCCATAGGTGTCACTGGTGTTACCACATGTTGTCAGTCATGGAATATCCACTAAAATATTTCATTTAATCCATTTGTATACTTTTTTTTTTTTTACAATTACCTAAGAATAAAGTCGGTCACACCAGTGACGTCAACTAAAAGCTTCATATGAAATCATGAGCTAAATGAGAACATTTCTGATGACTGAAAAGACACAGTGGACTCACCATGTGCTTTTCTTCATAGATCCTCAGAAAATAGGTAAAAGGAAGTCAAGTGATGTCATCAGTGTGACTATTTGAAAATAAGAGATTTTTTGTTACACAGTAACACCAGTGACATGACTCCTGGGGACCACAACTTTCATTATATATTTCATAATATTTGTTTGGCGTTTGTTTTCTTTATGTCATTTAATTTATATATTCCATAGTCATGTATAGTTTATTGTAGGTAAAAATGCAGAAAAATGTGTTTTTTTCTTCAAAATATGGCCTCAGCCTTTACACATGACTTGGGGGGACAAGCTCTTCTGTGGTGCTTGGAATTCTAGATAATTGATTCAAAAACCAATATTGCTAAATTGACGGCTCAAGAAAGTGTAATTGTTAATATAACTTTAACCAGCTTTATTTTAAAATATAAATAAATTGTAACCCTAACATGTTTTTTTTGTAATATATCTCTAAATGCCAGGGACACAAAAACGGACGTTTCTGTAGAATGACCCTGATGTTGTTTGTGTCTGACCTTTGTGTAGTGGAACTGCATGGGGTCATCAGTAGAGAGGGATACACAAAGGCCCTTGTGCAGGAACTCTCGCAGTGGGTTCTTGGAGTACTCCAGGAACAGACTGTTGTTACTTAGAGGGGACATGGCAATAGGCACCTGGGCAAGGTAATACAGGTACTGCAGTACGGGACTCTGAGAATACACACACAAAGAGATCTGTTATCCGTGTCTTTGTTTCCATTTACCTCCACCCTGCAGGTCATTTTTAGCATAAGCGTTAGATGTGCATTAGCATGTGCCTGTACTGCGTCACTGAAGCTGCTTTGATCCTGCTCTCATCACTCATGCAGTCAGAGGCGGCAGAAACACAGCACCTCTGCAACGGTAACACAGCTCCACTTAAGTGTGATAAGCTAATGGAGAGTTGAGGTTGCCAGGCAGATGGAGAGAGTGTTTCAGAGAGAGTGTTTGACAGTGTTTTAGATAAGCTGCCACTGAAGGCTGCAGGCAGGCTACCCCACTGTACCTTCTTCAGGTTCAGGCCATGAGAGATGTTGTCTGCAGTGAGGAACGCTGAGACCAGGTGGGTGATGGAGCCAGCCTCGCCGCAGTGAGGTCGGAACTGGAAGGTGCTCAGGCCCCGTTCTCTGTGGTAACACACACACACACACACACACACACACACACACACACACACACACAAACATGCACATATATTCTTAGTATCAAATTATTATTCTATCCATTTTGCCACATAGTAATACAGACTCTTATGTCTTGGTATAGTGTAGTGGGTAATACCTCTGCCTTCTACACTGTAGGCTGGGGTTCAAAACCCAACCTGGACAAGCACCCTACACTATACCGGTAAGAGTCCTTGGGCAAAACTCCAAACACTACCTTCGCCTGTAAGTCGCTCTGGATAAGAGCGTCTGCCAAATGCCATAAATGTAAATATAAATGTCTTACAGGTCTAGTGAGCCGACCTATATCATAACCATCAATATTAAAATAAATGTAACTTGAATCAAAGGGGAGTTCCACGTAGTATTCAGAATTCAGTTGTTGACATGTAAATAAAGTTATTCAGAGTGGACTGATGAAATTCTCCTTTCTAGACAAACCTACTGAGATTTGTTCACAGCCTTGCATGTCCCCTCTCCGCCATCAATGGGTTTTAAAACATACATTTGAGGTCAGAACCTTTTTTCAAAATGATCTTAAAACAATGTCATTCATTAGACTGCACATTCATTACCATTTTATATAATAACATTGTGAGGTACTTTTTAGAGGCATTAAACGCTTCAAGTGTTTCCCATCACCACCACCACTGTGAACAATTCTGACTCGGTAAAGTTTCTCTACAGCTACGTTCACATTACAAGCCTAATTTCTCAAATCCGATTTTTTGCTCAAATCCGATCTCTCTGACACGATGGTTCACACTCGTTTAGGTAAGTGACTCAAATCTGTCATTAATGTGATGAACCGGCGTCCTGAAATGACCCGCATGAGCACATCCTACTCAGTAACGTCAGGTGAATGAATCACGTGTGTCATCAGCACAAACTAACGAGCAGAACGAGCTTCGCTGAGAAGATAATTAACTCTGATCAGCTCTCAGCTTCATTATTAGAGCGAGACGAAGGTGAAAAAGTGAGATGAGCTTCTTTTCCACCGTTTACAGGCTTTAACTTTTGTTCGGCGCAGCTGCCATGGTAACGCTGAATGATGGTGCAGTGGAGAAAAAAAGCACATGAATTCCAATCTGAGCTTCACATTAAGGTCCCATGGCCACAAATCGGACAAGTATCTGATCTAGGACCACATATGAAAGTGACTCAGGTCAGATTTGAAAAGATCAGATTTGCGTGTCCACACAGCCCTGAAAACATCAGATCTGAGTCACATTAGGGCAAAAAATAGGATCTGTGCCACTTCAACCTGGTAATGTGAACGTAGCCTAGAACAGAGCATATTATTGCATACACTTTAAATAAGTGCAGATATTATGCAAATTATCGTTCCTTCATTTTCTTTCACATAGCATGTGATTTTTCTTTCTTTTTTCCTTTGCCTTTGTTTAACTATTCCATTTGCACTATAATGTGAATCTATGGTTAATTAAAAAATGTATACAATAGAAAATTTGGTATTTAATTTGCAAAGACTGTTATGTAGATTTGCTACAATGCTTAAGAATCTGCTCCCCAGTAAACAGTAAAGTGGATGCGCTTATCCAGAAGAAGGATGCCAGCACACCAGTTTGGCATTATTTTGATTTACAATCAAATGAAGGAATATCATTATAATATCATTAAGTAATATTAGAAGCAAACCATCAGTAATAATATGGTAATAACATTGCTATGAGGTGAAATACAAGCTACAGGGTGAGGCTCTGTAACACACATGTGACAACTGGAACAGGAGCTGATGTCTTGCTCCACCAATAAAAAAAATGATTCTATAGCCCATGGGTACCTCTACCTCTCCCCAGAAAGAGGATGACTTAACATCTTTTATTCCCCCTCACAGAGCTGCATTCTTTCCAAGAACTTCAACTGTAACCCAACACATAACTGCAACTGATATGGGGGTATTTATAGAAGGCCTGCTGCACTGCAGGACTCGCTCTCTCTCACATCCATGCAACTGGAAACCCATTCTCTATGCATGTCCTCCAGAGATTATTCAAAGTACCTCTAACCCCTGCAGTACAATAGCTTCTCTTTACTGGAACAATTAAGGCGAACCCGGTAAGCCCATTAGTGGTGTGAGCAATGCAGTCAGTTCCTTCTTTTGACAGGTGATGCCTTCATCTAATGGAAATTTCCAGTCTGGACAGGTTCCAAAGTCAAATAGCTGAGACCGCACTTACTTCCTCAGATTGTTGAGCACCATGATGTTGGCGTACATGTGAAAGAGGTAGTAACTGTAGGGTGGGTTGTCGTCTGTGGTCCACTGCTCAGGTTTGGGGCTCTTATAAGAGAACATGTGATCGCTGTGCTTGGATTCATCATCCACACTGTCAAAGCCCGTCACCTGAAGGAGGAGATATATTGGTAAGGTAATAAAATGTAAAAGCCAAAAAGATGAACATATGAGTCTGGTACATATCACAAATTACGTGCGTTGGCAAACTGTGAGAATATCTTGCTTAATGTGCTGCCATCAACTTCGCTAGCTGCATTTTTCAGCCCAATGACTATGGCCCAATCCCATTTCACCCCTCGCCCCTACCACTCAGCCCTTACTCCGCGGTTCTGCGTTCACACCTAGGCGTAGTGTGTCTCGATTTTTGTTGAGATAGAGGGGTAGGATGAAGTGTTAGGGCTACAAGGCCCCCCAAACAAGGTTTTTCAGAGGCACACTCCAAACAGAGTGTTATGAGAAAAATTGGCAAGCTGGTTGCACAAGCAAGCAAAGAAACACACAAATGTATTATCTCAGTAAAAAAGTTACGATAACCTTTGAATTATCTTAGTTCAACGTTGTTTCAACGTATTATGGTCCTTTTCTTCATAAGAAGCATACAATACTGCTAGTAGCATGCTGATGTCTCAGTAGCTAGCTGGCTAAATTTCCCATTCCACCTTAAATGGTGCAGCAGTTACATTCCATTTACATACTTCAGCACCATTTAAGGTGGAACGGGAAAATTCGACCAAGAAGCTGGCGAATAGCTGACTTCAGCTTCATATCACCGAAGAATTAGGGGTGGGCCATAATACATAATCTTTGAAGGCATATGATGCCCTAAATGTAACTAAAGCCGCAGGGTTGCCTACAGAGCAGCGCTAGTAGCTGTTAATAATCTTTTTATTTATGGGTCCCATTTCGTAGGGAAGTTTTCAACCACCAACCCTTCTAACTCAGTTCCAAGAGGCAAGGTGACACTCGAAAACAAGAGCTAGTGGCACATTGCTTAGAAAAGTGTGTTTCCTGTCGGACTGATAAAACCTGTGCATGCACATGGACGTGCAGACAGTTAACCACAAAGCAACTGACAAAATCGTAACGGCTGTGGCCAACCTCGCTTATTCAAGATATCAGACACTCCATGTACGTGTGGGTGAGACCAAATGCCTGTGGACTTAACTCACATATTTCAGAAAGACATGAAGCTCTTTGTGCTTCTGAGGATTCACAGTGGCCTCAAAGAGGGGAAGAAAGATGTTTTCCAGCATCTTGGCAAAGTTAGGAATCAGCTTCCGCGACTTAAAAATGTCACTGCAAGAAAATAAAAGGTATTTCACTCAATGGTTCAAAATAATCTTATTAATGTTATAGATGAGGGCTGTACATCACTGTGTCACTACACTACAGCACTTACTATATTCTGGGCACCTGGATGATCCAACGCATGTTGGGGGAGTGCACCTTGTGCTGGATAAACCAATGAGAAAGGCTCTCCCACTCCTCAGGGGACCGACCATAAATGGAAAGGCGGGGCTCAGCATGCTGGTATTTACTCTCCTCTAGATCATGAGCAACTTCCTGCCAAGTTACAAATGAATCAGTGGATGTCTATTGATAGAGTAATGGAGAAAGTCACATGTGAAATGCACTGATGTGAATAATGAATAAACTCTTCTTGTACCTTGATCAAGCGGGCAAAGTACTCTCCCTCGATTTGGTTGTCAGTTTTCAGGTAGATTTCTCGTAACTCGCTTGCACCTACTGGATTATATTTGGAGTTGAACTTGTCAAAGCGGTGAAAAGTTTGTCTGCCCTGTGAGAGGTTAAAGTCAGCTCATATCAATGTCATAAAACTGCAAAGGAAAGTATCGCATAACAAGAGCCATCTGCAGGCACTTACAGCATGTACATCAAGAGAGTCCACAGTGAGGTCATAGGGGTCCATATTGAGGTTGTTGAAGACCTGTTTGAGGGTCAGTCTCTGTCCAGCCTTTTCCAGCACCACACGCTCTGCATCTGTGTTATAGGTGCTCTGGATGAAGTTGAGCAGATGTTTCTGGTTCATACAGGCCGCAGCATGGATGTGAGTGTCTACCTGTGAACAATAACCAACACATTTAAAAGTATGCACTTTTTTGTTAAGATTTTAAGCAATTTTCACCCAATTTCATCATTGGCAATTGCACCCACTAGCTAGGTCTCCCACTTTCACATGATGGCACCATGCTGAGAGGATAAAGGCAAGCACAAAGTTCCTCAGCGGCACACTAATCTTAACTTATACATCAAACAGCCACTTCATTAAGTACACCTCCTCGTATTTACACTCTTTGTTCATTTCCCTTATAGGAGCACTTCGTAGTTCTACAATTACAGACTGTTGTCCATCTGTTTCTCTGTACAATTTGTCAGCCTCCTTTCATCCTCTGCTTAAAAGGTCAGGACCCCCACAGGACCATCACAGAGCAGATATTATTTGGATGGTGGACTTAGCACTGTCACTCAGATACAGCAGTGCTGCCGGAGTTTTTAAATACTGCGTCCATTTACTAGCCACTCTATTAAACACTCCTACCTTGAAGGACCACTTTGTAAAGTCAGAGACGATAGCTCATCTGCTGCTGCACAGTTTGTGTTGGTCATCCTCTAGTCCTTCATCAGTGGTCACAGGATGCTGCCACAGGACGCTGTTGGCTGGATATTTTTGGTTGGTGGACTATTCTGAGTCCAGCAGTGACACTGAGGTGTTTAAAAACTCCAGCAGCACTGCTATATCTGATCCACTCGTGCCCAGCGCAACACACACTAACACACCATCACGATGCCAGGGTCACTGCAGTGCTGAGAATGATCCACCACCCAGTTATTAAGGAGCGGTTGATGAGTGTATATACATAAAACAGAAAAAGTATTTTATATTGTTGGTCTTACAAACCAAAAACCTAACCTTTAACATGTGTTTATTGTGTGTAGCTGGCATAACAAGCTATCCATACCTGATTGTTGAGCTGTTTTAGTGATTTATAAGTATATATGTGATTTTACTCACTACCAGTCAACAAGTTTCATTCAAACAACAAATAACTACACCCATTCCTAGTATGTAAGTTCTGTAGGTATGACTTAACTAATTAAAGGAAGGGAAAAGGAGTCGTACCTTCCTGACGTTATAGAAATCCCGGTGTGGCACACCCTTGAGTTCTTTGAGTTCAGCCATCTCATTGAGCATCTCATGCAGGTAGAACTTCGATCCAAGGAAGTTCAGTCGTCTATGGCAGTACGTTTTTCTAAGTATAGAAAAAATCCAAGTCTAAATGTGTGAAGCTGCTTTTTACTGCATGTTTAATATGCTGAGTTTGGGCTGGGCGATAAAACGATAACAATAATTATCGCGATTTAACTTCCCTCAATTGAAATATAAGAAATGTTCGATAGAACAGAGCATTCTCACATTTCCACGTTCTTGTGACAGCCCTGGTGGCTTTTCTACTGTAAGGAAAGCGACACTACTCTGCTGTTGTCACAAGATGGCGCACTTCCGAGTTTTTCGACATGATTAGATATACTTCGGCGATGTTTGAAACTTGGGGTTAGTCGTTCCCTGTCTGAGTGGAGCGATCGTCAATTCTCCTGTGACCGAGTGTGAGTGACGAGATCAGTGGCGTAACTGTACTGTCCTACAGTGAACTCACCTCTTTCCTAACATCCTAACGAGCTTTAGCAGCGTTAAATCATGTCTGCTCCTCACAACTACAGCACCGTGTGTTATGTTGCTCAGTCATATTTTAGTATTAGTGCAATCCATAGCAACAAAAGTGAAACAAAGAATTGGGTTCATGCAAGTTACAGCACTGATTTAAACAAAAGTAAACTGATGATGCTGTATGTGTGACATTCAGTAAGGCTGTGTGATCCATCACTGACGTACTGAGGCCAGCTAATGTTTGCTGTTCGTACTGCCGTTGTTGAGAAACTAAACAGTTTAGCACTTGTAACCAGACAGCCAAAAGTAATTTGTTTTGTTTTTTAAATTATGAATATTACAAAAATTGCAGCTGTGCTTTTCCAGCTGGTAAAAACAGCTAACCAGAAACTTTCTCCCACTGTCACATGACAGATTTGTGAAAAGTCCCACTGTTTGCTGAGTGTTTATCATGTTCTGACCATAAAGGATAGTTTAAAACAGCAAATAAACACTCAGGAGCAAAAATCAGCCAAAGAAACTCCAAAGAAATAACGATTTGACATTTATCGCGATATGTATCGATATTGATTGAATTTTTTTATCATGATAACACTTTTGGCCATATCGCCCAGCTCTATGCTGAGTTAACTTTGTCTGCTTTAATGCTAACACACACTCACGTAGGACCATCAGCGATCATGGCCAGCACATGGCTCAGGTCCATGGCAAACGTCTCCAAGTCTGGGTAAGGCAGGCAGCGGGGTCTGTTCTTACTGAGAGCCTCAGCATTGTCATACACATATATAATCCCATCCCTCATTTTCAGTTCATAGCCCAGGTTCTCTGGAATGTTCTCCACGCTGTAGGGGTCCTCTCCCTTGTGGGGGCATGGGCAGATATCTGCACAGTGGACAGATGAGACAACAGAATGTTACAAAGTCAATTAAAAACAATAACACAGAATTCAAATACCTGATACAATACAACTGACATTTCCATCAAGGACATGGAACAAAACAGGTAAAAACATCACCAACATCACTTTCATGTATGTATCGATGCCTGCACATGAAATTAATGGAAGGCATAAAAAATTAAGGTGGAAGTCTCCTGAAATGTAAGCTCTGTCACTGTTTAAAGAAGACTATGTAGACACACCTGGCAAGACTTCATCTTCCTCCCTCCACTTAGCGTTCTCAGCGCTGCGAAGGAACTGGGCAGTGGTCCGGGGGAAACGGTGGTAAGCTAGCTTTGAATATTTCTCCCGGATGAATAAAGCTTTCAGCAGACTTTTAGCGGCCTGCTCGTAGTCCTCAACTGTGATCTGAAACCAGAGAAAGAGCGGACTGAACAGCTTTTTACCTTGCAACCCTTTGAATGTTAAAAATCATTGATTAACACTTCTCTATTTAAAAAGGGTCCATATTCAACATTGTTCTTGTACTTGTATTTTATTTTTCAGGTCGACTTATGTTTGTGTGGGTTTATGTACCATAAACTTATAATTAAACAGGCTACTTTTGTTACTGGGCCTTTAAATAAACGGGCAATCACTCGATTGCATGGGCCAAATAAATAAACTGCCAATTAATACAGCAATTTGAAAGACTACGTATGTTTTAAAGTTCTCATGCTGGTCTCTATTACTGTAAGAAACACCTGATGGACAGAACCTTTATATGTCTTTTTTGCCACACATAACCAGTACATAATCCGTAATCAATAATCAGTACATTATTTGATTACTAATAGAACAGTGGCAGTCCTAGTAGAGTGCATGAACTCACCCCAGCACAGTAATCTCCACTGATAGTGACTCTCTGGTATTCAGGGAAGTTGTCTGAAATGGAGGTGCAGGTGGAAGCAGGGGACAGGAGTGGAGTGACTGTAGTTCGAGCCCAATCCACAGTCACTGGGATTTGAAGGGACATGGACTGAGACCGGATCATCTTAAAACTCTTCTTCCTGAGCATATAAGAAGAAATGCATCAAATCATTACACATTATGTTCCTTTGTCAGCTTACCTAAAAGCTTATGTTAAAAATGTATGTTGAAGTGATGTAAATAATTCTGTTAAAGGCCATTACTTCAGCGTAGTGTTACAGAGCCAGTCTGATTTGGGCTGCCTTTGAGACGGAAAAGAAACCATTATCGCATATACATATAAACTGTTTTGCCATTCAAGCACGCTAGACCTGGGAAGTGGGCTAGAAATATCTCATAACTCAGTTTCTTCAGTGTTCTACTTCCATCTCATACTCCAGTGCCTATGAAACCTTGACAGAGATTTTTAATGACTGTAGCAAAGTGATCAAAATTACAATACATATAATACACTGCTGTGAGTGAAAGTGGTGTGATTTAGGACCTGGTGAGACTGATGTTCTGATACACTGCTGCATGGCTATGCTAACCTCTTGGCAGTTTCCTCAGACTGCTGTTCAGCCAGTTCCCGGAGCAGCTCTCTGTCCTTGGCCTGCTGCAGGCCAATGGGACAGTCTTCAGGCACCGTGTACATGGAGAGAGCATCTTTATTCTCTTCCTCCTTCAGCGCTGAGGCGTACACTTTTTCTGCCAGCAGACGCACCTCCTCATCCACATCACTCAGGGTGATCTTGGGGAACTGCCGGGGCATTTCTGCACAAAAACAGTAGCAGTCAATTATGACAGATAATAGAAATAATAAATAAATAAATACATACAAGGGAAAACAAAACTTATCTATTTTTATATAAATATATACAATTCTTAAAATAAGAGTTTAATATATACTATAAACATCGTTGAAGGTATCAAAATGTACTCTCCAGTCAATACACTTCAAACAAGGAAACTGAGACAAACAGTCCATTTGAATTAATCATGGCTATGATGTCACAACCATGAACACATTTACACATGACTGCTCACTCAGGCTACAGCAGCCCACCCATTCACACTGAAGTTATAAGTAAGGTTGTTACTGCAGACAGTCTGGAGCTGAGTTACTGCAGTAGGGAAAATGATTAAACATTGTGCTGTTCCTGACTGTCAGGAGGCAAACACATTATTGCAGCATTCCAACGGATCCACAGATCTGAAAAAAGAGCGTGAAGTTTTATTTTTTTCTTATGTCTCTAAGAACTTAATTCTGTCTTAAACAACTTATTATGTACATTTTAGCCCATGCTAATTTTTAAAGCAGGCACAATACAGGACAGCCAATCAAAACAGAGGCAATTTACATTACACTATTCTTAACCCTTGTGTGGTGTTCGGGGTCTGTGGGACCCATTTTCAATGTTTACTAAAAGAAGAAGTTATGCGATTTATTATTATTTCAACTTCAGATTCTTGTCCTTTGCTCATTTTCTGTGAAGAACATATAAAATAACCAATTTTCAGTGTCTTCACTCTGTTCACCCCCCACACATTCATATTACACATGCGGTGTTGGGCTGAACCTGCAGGGAGTAAAAGTGTGGAGGTGCTGTGTCCTTCACTCTGTTCTCCTCCTACAAGGCCTGCTGCTAGTGTGTGTGTGTCTGTGTGTGTGTGTATGTGTTTGTATATATATATGTGTGTGTGTGTGTGTGTGTGTGTGTGTGTGTGTGTGTGTGTGTGTGTGTGGACAACATGGACAGGCTGCTGACTGGCTACAGCTGCTAAAGGAGAACCCTACGCTGGACACTTGTGATATTTTAAGCATCTGGTATTTTTACATAATTGTTATGGCTGTATTGTATAATAATGAGGTGGGTCCACCAGACCACTGAGTAACAAACACATCAACACCATACAAGGCTTAAAGGTAACAAAGAAATAACACAGTGACAAAAACAGCCTTTCATTTTAATGGATAAAGAGATGCTGTAAATGGTCATGTAAGTATGAATTAAAACTATCTCGGGTATGTATAAAAAATACAAGACAAACGCCAAATATCAGCTAGTGAAAAAACACAGAATAATAATGCATCTCAACTTTTATAGCACTGACTTTGTGCTCATTCAATTCTAGTGCAAAGTAAGGTGCTGTTACACAAAGGAACTCTTTTCATGATGTTTTCTAGAAGTTGTGTCACTATCAATTCTAACGAGCCATTACTCTGAAATAAAATATTAGTTTGGTTAGTGCCCAAAACTGCTGCGACGTAGTGGGTCAGTCAATGCCGTGCTCGTAATCACCTCTGTCACTTGGACAACCACTGTTATGTATTTCATTGCTCCTATTAACATAGCTTAAAATAACCCTCCAGTGCCAGGTGTGCTTCCAGGCCAGGCTGTTTGGAGGCAGTCAGTGGGCCAACACATAGAAGGTTGCGTACCCATTGCTTCAAGACGCTTATGTCTCAGTGTGGACAGTAGCCCAGTATTAGCTTTGGCAGCAGGCAACAGCCTCGGCTGCCCTTTGTGAGGCAGAAATGTCAAGGTTTTCATTCCTCCCAACCTCTTTTAAGAAGCCTACATTCCAGCACTCACTCGCTTGCTGTCACCCAAGTGCCAACAGCTGCAAACCCCAGAGACAGCAGGATCTAAAGCAGCACCAACACAAGGCAAAAACCAAAAGGGTTCCCATCACGCTGCATTCATTCAGAACTAAGCTCATTCAACTGCAACAAGTTGTTGTTCATTTAAAGGGTAACTCAAATGACCAATACACATAGGTGTCTTCCAAGGTTTTATACGCAATGTTGAGAATGGTAAAACATGGTAAATCTGAAATAAGAAACTTTCTATGGGTACTGCTATGACATGCTGTATCTACCTCTCCACCAGTGGATTTTAAGAAATACGCTATAGGCCACAATGTTACCTCAAAACCCAGTGAACATATTTGCAACCATTTAGAGTAACAACTTCATGCAAGGTAGCTTTTCGGGGTACTAAATGCTCTGGATGCCTGGCTCCTAATACCACCACTGTGAACAATTCTGATTGGCTAAATTTCTCTGGAATGAAGCATTTCACACCAAACCACTCTGGATGACTGTTTACAACTTATATAGGATAAAACAATTATGCAAAAAGTTTAAAAATTCAATGGAGCCCAATATGATCATACAACTGCTTTGTGAATACAGTACAGCAACGTTCCTCGCTCCTCAACATCGCCAAGAAGCAAAAAGACGGGATAGCTACAACCCTCTAGCCAGGGTCTGCTTAAAAAAACCCTAAGGAGCAGAAAGTACTGATGTACAATTAGTTATACCAGGACCAGAGCTGAATACGCCTGCTTTAGCCAAATGTTGCGTGATACTCAAAATCACTGACTCTAACATTAACCTCCTTAATCAGTCCCAGCAAGCTCCCATGCAAAGTTGTGGTTGCAGTCATCCTCACCTTCAGCTCCTGCCACTGCCATCTCAGCTCCGAGTAATTACTTCTGTACGTTTGAGCGCTTGTCTGTGATGTGGGTCAGGTCCAGTCCCACTCTGAATCACTGCTTTGTGGCCGCAGCGCTTTTGTTTTCTTGACCGTCTCCATCTCTCTCTATTTTAAGAGGCCAACGGCATCACGTCCGCAGAGCCACTAATCCTGTGAGCATGTCGCAAGCGCCTGTCAACAGACTGGAAGCCCACTGCATATGGACAGCTTTCCCATGTAAGCCTCATGTTCCACCACACCTTTCCACAAACATACCCTCTTTAGAGACCTCTTCAGTTCTTCACTAGGGCTCCCAACCCTGTTAGTTCCACAAAGTGGCCTCAGAGCCCTAGCCGCTGTTTGACTGACAGGTCCAGCCTATGCTCCCCAACATAATCCCTGCTGTGACCTTGCACTGGGAGCAGGACGTAGGGGTTTAAAATAAATAATCCTGCTGCCATTAGTGGAACCGTCATTCAGTGAGCAGGTAACAACGCCTGTAACAAACCCCTCTCACTTCATCTCCAAAGCCCAGCTTGGGTGATGACACAGCTGCCCATGCACTTCCAGGCTTGTTTACACATCAGACCTCTGGCCAATTTGAAACTGTAGAACAGGGGCCTGTTTACAGCAGAGAACATGGGATGATCCTCTGCCCGGCTCATGCAATAGCCTGGGCTGGCTGTAAACAGTACGTGTGAGATGACAGAGGGTGGAGGGGCGGGTGAGGCTTACCTGATCCGCCTGTTGTTCTCAGAGCTCCTGTGGGGCTTTGTCCTATCTCTGCCTTTTATTATTAACAAACGTCCCATGCACGTCCAGCAGGATCAGCTGTAACAGCTGCTTTATCTGTAACCCCGCCAGGGCTTCAAACTAACCCTAACCAGCAGTCAGTAAGACTGCTATAGCCTGGCCATGAACTTACAGTATGGAGAGGTTCACGGGTCACCAAGGACGCCAGCCTTGTGTGGTTTTTAAAAAGCCCCTATCAAGTAAAACCCAATTTTTACTGCTTTTTTGAAATGAGAGTTTAATGTCATATGCACATATCAAAACATACCATTCACTCCACAGTCAGTACAGCTCACATGTGAAGACTATGCTGAGAAAACAGCTTGTTTGGAATTTACTGTTTCTGTGACGTCACAAAAACTAACATTTTTATATGTGCCTTGTGATAATTGATCGGGTTATCTTGGCAACGGCCCCCAGTGATGGTAAAAATAATTTATTAAAACATTAAAACACTGTTCATTTATTGATTTATTTGGATAAACTATGTCAAGTCAGCAGTATTACACATATAAACATAACTGAACTTTTAAACATTGGGTGAGGTGATATCCTATATTATACAACAGTTAGTTCCGGCCACGCAAGCTGATTGGTTGAGAAGCGTTCTAACCGTGCTGTTATTTCGCCATAACATCACAGTTTTTTCACAAACACTATCACTCCGCTGAGACACTGTTGCTAAGCAACGACTTTGACAGCTGTAGGAGACGCTCAAGCCATTTGAACGTTTTTACTTCTTACTTTGCCACAAACAGAAAATGGATACATTTAAGATCACATTTGACCGACAGCCGATTTGGTCAGACTCTGAAGATGAGACGACACTAAATTCCCAAACTGTCAGCTGGTCTGTGTGGAGCGGGAGAACGAACTGCCGGCTGTGCAGCGAGTGGGCGGAGCTCGTTATTCTGAGGAACTATAATTTGGCGGAAGGAATCATTAATATTAAAACATATTAAACGCTGCGTTCACGACCCAGTTTATTAATTTATTACTTTATTTATTTAACTGTTGTATAAAAGCGATAGAACACTCGAGGTCGTGTGTTATCGCAATAATATCACGCCTGCGGCTCCAGCCTGTGACCAAAACACAGCCGTGATGTTATTTCGCGATAACACACTCCCTCTTGTGTTCTATTGCTTAAATAACACTAAATTTTTTGTACCTAACAAAAAGCCCATACCGAAAGCCACCTTTATGGTATGGTGTACATTTTAGGACATCCTCACGCTACAGGAGGTTAAAGAATGAAAAATGACTTTAGTCTTGGGAAAAAAAAAACATCAGTAAAAACGTCTCAGCTCTCGTTTGTCAAGTAAAATGGGCATTTTCAACGGCCTCAGCCAAAATGGCTTCAGAGAAGAAGGCAAATGACCAAGCTATAAGCAGCCATAAAGTGTAATGTTTTTGCAACATTTATAATTTAATAACCTAATTCCAAAAAGTGTTGCGACACAAATATTTTTATTAATTTTTGGAAATATTTTGTAACTTTCCACAGGTGGTTGGCTGATTCTCCATATTACTTACTAGCTATGTTTACTTAGTAGTTAAAGCTGGTTGTACTGTCCACTTATTACTTAACCAATAATCAATACAATAATCAATAATACAACAGTGCATTCACACAAATATAGCTAACACAAAAGGCTACAGTTACACACAATTGTGTGTGGAGTTAAGCAGAGTAACATGTTTTTCACAAGAGTTTAAAAGTTACAAACAAAAAAAACCTCACTCTGCCTGCACACACACTAAAAACATTAGAATTAGGTAAACAGCTGACAAACATTACTGAGCGCTGTCCTCTAAACATGTTAGGGCACCAAGTTAGAAGTTACTTTGTTTTTAAGCCCTATGATGTCAAAATAAATCAGCCAGCTCAAATAACTGCGATTATCTCAAATTATAGTTAGATTAGGCAATTATGTAATAATTGTGATAGGCCTAGCTAATGCTATCATGAATGGGTATAAATTAAGTATCAATAAAAGGTTCACTTTTTAAAAAAAACAATAGTCCAACATTTTAAGAACATGACTGCAAGGAACTTAGAGCTTTCACCATCTACTGTCCATAACATTATTAAAAGATTCAGAGAATCTGTGTGGAAAGGCCAAGGCTGAAAACAAATACTGCATGCCCGTGATTGTCGCTCCTTCAGACAGCACTGCATTAAAAACCAACGTGCTTTTGTAACGAATATAACCACACAGGGCTCGGGACATTTCAGAAAACCTTTGTCAGTAAACAGAGTTCATCACTGCATCTACACGTGTAAGTTAAGACCCTACCATACAAAGCAAAAGCTATAAATTAACAACATCCAGAAACACTGCCGACTTCTCTGGGCTAAAGTTCAACCGAGACAGACTGACACAAACTGGAGATGTACGCTGTGGTCTGACAAGTCCACCTTTCAGATTGTTTTTGGAATTATTGATGTCATGTTCTATGGGCCAGAGGAAAAGGACCATCCTGACTGTTACCAGCATAAAGTTTAAAAGCCAGCATCTGTCATGGTATGAGGGTGTGTTAGTGCCAATGGCATAAGTAACTTGCACATACGTAAAGGCACCATTAATGCTGAGGGGTACATAAACATTTTGGATCAACATATGTTGCCATCTAATCGACATCTTTTTCAGAGACGCCACTGCTTATTTTAGCAAGACAATGGCAAACTTATACGTATTATGACTGTGTGGCTTTACAGTAAGAGCATGCAGGTGCTAGACTGGCCTGCAGTCCAAACATGTTAAAAATGTATGGCACATAATGAAGCACAACATACAACAACGGAGACCCCACACTGTTGAGCAGTTGAATTGTTCTATCAAATTGTTATATTTCAAAACTACAATAATTTGTTTCCTCAGTTCCCAAATAATTACTGAATATTGATAAAAATGACATGTAATAAAGTAACAGATGAAACAGAGTGGTAAACATGCCCCTGTTGCAACTTTTTCAGAACATGTTTTAGGCACCACACATATATATATATATATATATATATATATATATATATATATGTATACATACAAAATAATAATTAGTTGAAACATTAGATAATATTAGATATCTTGCAGTCATACCATTTTTTCGATTGAATACAAGCCAAAAAGGCCTGTGTTTTATTATGTTCTTTTATTTGCCAAAGATTGAGACTCAACTCGCATAGAGTCACTGTTTTCGCCCATGTCCACTTTAATGTGAGGGAAACTGTAAGGCAATGGAGCCCCCCACCAACCTGGTTTAACTGTTTATTGTGGTTATTTTCCACATGGTCACCCAAATAAGAGGACTCTGTTACCAGCACAGGTCTACCGTCATACATCGCTGCTGTCTGAAGAAAACCTTGTATCTCCATTTCTGTTGTTTTACAGTTTTTGACATAGTTTGAAAAAGCATGCTGGTCTGGTTTCATGATGAATGGACCAAAAGAAACGACCCAAAATGACTTGGAAAAGAGTCTGGTTCCACTGACTTACGTTAAAAATGAAGTTGGTTTTTTCCTTCTCCTGTAAAGTTACCATTTTGAAGATATGAGGTTTTGATCTGACTATTCAGTCTACAGCAGTTTAGCCCTGCCCACTCCCATTTACATTAAAGGCTGCTTTGTGAACGAGTCACAATACAGGGTAGCCAACTGGAACAGAGATCACACACATCGCTCTCGAAGATGCAGTTATCAGAAGAGCCTGTTTAATAATACAGGATAAAGGCAGTCATTGTGACTGTTTTGGTACATAAAACCACACAAACGTTATAAGTGCACCTCAGAGGAAAAAAGGACATGAGCCCTTTAATTCCTATGGCTGGAGAGAGAAGAATGAATGACTCAATCAGACGGAAGAGGCTATGTTTGAATCAGATGCACCACCGCTCTCATTCCCTCCATCTCATTGATCAGTAAGGGGTGTGGATCAGATGGCTGGCTGAGGGATTTGAGCTTTATGACAGATTAACGGGATGCTGGCTGGATGTTAATGGTCCGGGCTGAGAGCTGTACTACAGGTCAATGAGAACAGGGGGGACACCACTGCACCAGAACAGCAGAACAGCTTGCACTGAGTCTCTGTTGACACCCAAGTGGACACTTTTGCTTTGCTCTCTATCGAAGTCTCAGACTGTTTTAGCAGTAGTGAAGGTTTTCTCCACAGACTCTGGCCAAGAAACTAGCTGTCCTCATTGGACCTTTTCAGTGTTTGTGATTGCCGCTTCGCCTCAGTTATTAAAAGAACAAAGAGCACGACCTCCTTGGCTGCAGCTTTAAAAAAAAAGCTTATTTGTTTTTAATATTGTACTTAAGGGGCAGTGGATCCTCCTGGAAAATATCCTTATCTGTGCCTCGTCTGGTTCTCTTCAAGAGTACATTTAGGATGGAAATGCAGATAAAAGTGGCAAAGTTTTTTGGTTCCATACAGATCCATGTTAGGATGTAGAGATAAAAACTCACCATTTCCCAAACAAGGACTAGACAGCTGCTTCACCAGGCGGTTTTCTCCTCTCCTCATTCTCTGTGCTGTCAGGCCTGAAGGATGGAAAGAGAACATGACCATGAGAATGTGGCCATCTTCAATAAAGAGCAAACCAGCATTTGCTTTTAACCATCTATAGACCGAGGATCTATAGGCTGATGGGGAATTCCATCAATTTTTCGAAATTTCTGCATAATTTAATCGTTGAGATGTAAACAAAGTCATTCAGAAAGCTCTGATGTGAAGTGGTTCACTACAGAGAAACTACCGACTCAGGTTTCTTTACA